GTGATCACGTCCCAGTTTAAACGGGCGAACTGGCCGGTCCGGATCGGGTTTCAAAACATTGCTATTTTGGATCCATTACAAGTCGATGAATATTTTAAACTGCTCCTTTTTTTCTAAATAGTATTTGGCATTAGTTAAAAACAATAATAATCTTGTTACCGTATTGAAATTAAAATCCTGTTTTTAATTCAATTTCAATTTTCCCATTCATTTTGATATTTTTTTAGTTGACTTTCCACTAATTTTTTTTTTTGGTCTAATATTTTCATTAAAATTAACTACTCTCAAACTCCATAATCAGAGGAGGACTTACAAAGGAAGCAAATATGCCAAATGATTTGCCAAACAAAAAGGCTAAACAAAAGATAGATTGAGAGTACAATTCATCAATATAACTCATAAAGAATTGAAAGTACACTACGATCCTAAGAACTTCTTGACTGTATGCATCCAGAGCACTCAGGGGTGCTTTAAGCTCTGCAACAAAGGCAGAAGAGACAACATACCGGGAGGAAGATCCTTGCAATACCGGTGAGTCTTGAACATCCAATTCACTTATCACAAGTGAGAATTTTGGAAAAACAGATGGCTCCATAAAGGAGAAGACTGGACAGAAAAAGTCCAACAGAACCAGTTCCACTAATGACAATAACTTCTCCAGTGAAATTAGTTTAACCTCCGGAGATGCTGTGAAGCAGGAGGACGAAATTGAAAACACAGATCTGACGCAGGATGATAATAGTGAACTCTTCATAAACGAGAAAAAGATCTCCACAATGGAGTAAAGAATCTCCACAGAGGAGTAAGGGATCTCCACAAGGGAGTAAAAGTGCTCCACAAAGGAAGAAGAAAGGCGAACAGAAGCAAAATTACCAGAAAAAGAAGACTCCTCGGCTTGAAAGGTTACCACTCTTGCTAACTGAGAAGAAAACTTGAAAAGGTATACTGGATCTGGCCTTGGTAAATTGGTTTCTGACATGACTGACAAGTCCAGGGGGTCCGGAGGCTATGGCGGTGGATCATCAGGAGGAGAACACGCCGTGGCCAGCTTTGGAAGCGAGGCCCCTTTCACCGGATCTGCGGAGGTCGGCAGAAGACAAGCAATTCCATACAACAAATGAGTCATGGGAGACAGGAGGGGCAGCAGAGTGGGAGAAGAGATGTTAGAGACAGTGGACAGTGAAGGCAAATATTCCGGCTCGGCTTATTTGATTCCGAGAGGGAGGAGCAGCGACCTTCAAGTGGAGATCTGGGCGGAGGAGGGAGGTTGGCGGTGGCTGCAGTTCATTCTGGGCTCGTCGCGGCTGTCTCGGGGCTCGAGCCTGAGAGAGAAGCTGCTAGGGCGAACTTCTTTTTTTAGAATACTTCCACTAATTTTATTTTATATATATCTATTACTAATAAAAGTTGATGCTAAATGCCTCTAGGAGTGTCTACATAGGATTTAAAGATTCAATTCTATTGGTACACATCATCATTATTTTTAGTTAATTATATATTGTATATTAAAATTAATTAATTCGTTTTAATTGTTATAAGGAAAATTTCTAAATTTTAATTAATTTTGTTTTTGTTGTTATTAGGAAAGTTTCTAAATTTTAAGTTAATTATTAATAAAAAAAAGAGTTTTGAAAATAGATCTTATTTTTCTATTAACAATAAAAAGGTAAATTAACATATAAATAGATTATGAAAGAAAAATTATATATATTGAACAAAATTAATAAAAACTGTATTTAAAACCATAGTTAAATTATTTTAAAATTTTAATCACGACAAACAATTAAAACCTGAACTACTAACTTAAAATATATTAGTTACGGTCCGTGTTGATGTCTTAGGCCAATGAGAGCGTCCACATAAGATATATATACTCAATCTGATTAGTCTATATCAGCGTTTTTTATTAAACATAAAAAATAAAAAATATTATTAATAATTTAAATAAATTAAACATAAAAAATATAAAATTATCACAATATAATGGAAAATTAAGATAAACTTTTTAACTAAATAAAATAAATTTATGTCAAAGTCTAAATCTATTGTGAAAATAAAATAGAAACTCATTGTCACAAAAACTAAACTAACAAAAACAAATATGTAAATCAATAACAAAAAATTTAAATTAAATTTTTTTTAGCAGATATATTTTAAATGAGTAATTTATTTAGAAAAAAATATTAAGATTAAATTTTCATATAAACATATAAAATTGTTATTTAAAAATATCAATACTACCAAAAAAATTCATCTTAAATTATCAAAAAAGATTTCATCTAAAACTTATAATTTTTGGGAAAATATTTAAAAAATTAACACAAAAATCTTAACAAACTAGAAATGATACTTTATGCTAATTACTGAAGAAAGCAATATAAAAAATGTTTAACTAACAAAAACCAAAACATAAATTATTTCTTACAACATGTCAATACAATTAAAATAAAAATCCATATCGAGAAAGTTAAATTAACAAAAAAGAGGATATTAACCTAATATCTATGTTATTTATTTAACAAAATCGATATCAACAAAATAAATAAGAGAATAAAAAACTCAAATAATACTAAAAAACTTAAATAACAAAAATAATATAAATATTTAAGCTAATTATTTAAGAAATCAATATTAAGAAATTAATTAACTAAAAAACTAAAACAAAAATTAAGTTTTACATAATATCTTTTTTTTAAAACACTTAGAATTATATTGACTTTATATCTGACTAACTACTTAAAAAATTCATATAAAAATAATTAACTAACAAAAAAATTATGTCTTCAAAATATCAATATTTTAAAAACAATGGTGTTTTAAAATAAAATAAAAATTAATATCAAGAGAAGTAAATTATCAAAGGAAAAAGTCGTATAAAGTAAAATTAGCTTGATATTTAGGCTAACTACCAAACAAATATTAACTAAAAAAAGCAAACGATGGTGTAAACTTTTGAGAGAAGTTCACTTAAAATTTAGAATAACCAGTTATAGCATGTCAAAATAGCATTTTAATTAATTTAAAAAGTAAATTTAACAAAAAAAAACATTTATGTAAAAGATATTAGATTAATATATATGCTACCTATTTGAAAAATCAATAACAAAAGAGATTAATTAAAAATATATATGTTTTAAGTATATCAAACCTGCAGAAAATTAGATAATTAAAATAAAATATAAAATTACCACCGAAGATATTTAAAATAACAAAAAACAAAATCTAAGAAGAAAATTAGTTTGAAATATAGTTCCAAAAACATTCATGATTTCTTAAATATTGGTGTTGACTATGAATAACCATATAAAGATTTAATAGGTTGTACAAGTTTCTAAATCAAACATATTATTTAAGTTTACAAATATTAATACCTTGGTTGCGTCTGGTTGAAAAATTAACAATGTAAAATACTACACAAGTAACTTTACATAAAATATAATAAGTAATAAAGTCTGATTTGTATACATATTTACTGCTTATAACTTAGTGAACATGACCAACATCCTCTAAAATTTTATTTAAATAATATAATATGACAAAGTTATGAATTAAATTCAAATGGGAATATATGAAGATAAAATATTCAAATCAAAACATGAATAAACACACAAAAGATAAAAAAAATAGTGATAATTTGAAGTCTCAACATCATCTTACATGTTCAAAAACAAATATTAGCAAATATTTGAGTGTAAGTAAAACAGATCTTATAAACTGAATATAGATATAACCTAAAATTCGTATAAGATCTCGTGGAGAAGCAAAAAGCAGCTTTACATGATTAGTGTAGCTTACTAACAAAAGTAAATATGAATCAACATATATCATATATTATATATGTATATGTACACAACATTGGTGAGACATTTAGTAAAGAAACTAAATATTTAAACATATAAACCTTTTAAAAAAAGAACTATATAAATCCTAAGGATACAAAACAAAACACCAAAAATTTCTAAATCAAACATATGCACATCGAAGTTGGATAATTCGTTAAGTTGGATAATTCGTTAAGGAAATCATTTTCTAAATCAAACATATGCACATCGAAGTTGGATAATTCGTTAAGTGTCATTACTATGATTTTACTTAATAAGATTTATAATTTTATAAACAAAATAGGAAATATTACATTTATGTTTTAATTTTTTATATAAAAGAAAATTTCTATAAATATATTATAGTTTTGATAATTTAAAAGATATTAACTAAAAAATTAAACCAAATTATTAATACAGACTCGCGCGTAACGCGAGTTAAAAACCTAGTATAAGAAAAACCATACCATTATTCCATCATTTTTACTATTTTGGATCCATTATAAGTTGATAAGTATTCTAAACTGCTCACTTTCTTTCTCTAAATAGTATTTGGCATTAGTTAAAAACAAATAATAATCTTGTTACTGCATTGAAATTTAAATCCTGTTTTTAATTCAATTTCAGTTTTTTTTTTCATTCTTTTTGATATTTTTTTAGTTGACTATCCACTAATTTTATTTTAGATTTATAAGAGAAACCATACCATTATTTCTATCATTTTTACTATTTTGGATCCATTATAAGTTGATAAGTATTCTAAACTGCTTACTTTCTTTTTCTAAATAGTATTTGACATTAGTTAAAAACAAATAATAATCTTGTTACCGCATTGAAATTAAAATCCTGTTTTTAATTTATACAGTTTTTTTCCGTTCTTTTGGTTATTTTTCGAGTTGACTTTCCGCTATTTTAATTTAGATATATAAGAAAAACCTAACCATTATTCGATCATTTTTACTATTTTGGTGTAGTGTCGATGTTTGGTACGATTTTGGTTGAATCAAGATACAAATCTAAAGCATCGATTTTTCTTCAAAATTCTGGAAAAAAAAAATCAGAGTTTTCAGAACTGGAGAAGAGAAGAATAAACTTAAAAATCTGATTTCTCGTGTTGTACATAGCAGTCCAATAGAAGAATAGAAAAATAAACTGAACTTGGTTTTTTTTTAAACAGTTTTATTCTTCTTTCCGGGTCTTTGGTCTCACAGGCTTCACAGGAACTAAGTAGCTGAGCAGAATCACAGTGATAGGCAAAACTGTTCCAATGTAATATACACTCTTGAAGGCGACGAGTGTCTCGTGCAAGCTCAAAACCTTGAATACCACACAACAACAACAATAAAAGGAGAGATGTTTAGGAAAAAAGCAAGATCCTTTTAAAATTCAAGAAAATGGATGGAAGAGTTTAATAATATACCATGAAACCAACGGATGAGTAATTGAGAACCAAAACTGTGTAGAGGAAATTGATGAAAACCATAAGATTCCTCAGCATTGCCATTTTCAGAGGCATTGCTTGTTGCCATCTGTAAATAGCTGCTCGACGAAAAAGGAATGATTTTTTAGATAAAGATGACGACAAGGTTTAAAAACAGAACGTTAATGGTAAAAGCAGAGTATCATTACCCTTTGAACCATCGATCATCAATGCTGATTGAACAAAGAATATAATGTATCCAGGATACAGTCCCTGCAAACATAGAAAGATTCAATCTTTATCACAGGAAGCAACTTAAAAACAGGACTTTTCGAATCAAAACATTGAGAATTCAAGAAAAATGAAGTAAAAGTGAAGAAGAAGACTCACATGCCAGACGGCACTAACGGTTTGTGTAGCGAGCAACTGAAAGAAACCAGCTTTCTTCCCGGGCTTCACAATTCTCTCATACACATCTGTGTTTTAAACCAGTGACGCCATTAAAGAACTGTGAACTCTAGAGATGGTTATCTTTTGGATCTTTTAAGAATGTAGTAACACTCACAGTGACGGAGCCAAGTGCTGACTTGTATGTTCCACACGAGCGGGATCTGAACCGCGCTCGTAGCTAGCTCAACGCCTAGAATGTCTACGTTCTTGGCACGGTCCCATTTCGCCTTTGTTTGAGATTTCTCGTCGGTCCAGCCGCTGAAACCCAAACCGGAGATGATGATGGAAGCCTCTGAGATGGACCATATGAAGTAATACTTCCAGCGAGCAGTGAAACCGGCCATGTACTGGTAACCGAATCTCTTCCAGAATCCCCATTCTTGGTACACCGGTTCGGTGAACCGGGTTAACGGAAACTGAGGTACTAGATAGAGATACAGAGCCATACAAACCCCAGCTTGGAATATAGCTCGAACCGTTGCTCCATACGGAGAAGGTCGCTTTCCTTTTCCAGAAACAGACCAAATCTGAAATCAAACACACAATAGATTAAACCAAGCAAACAAACAATGACACAAGAGTCGATGAATCAAGAAAGCTCACTCCTTTCTCTTCGGTCCACTCGAGATAATCTTTCATTTCGAAAACCGGTCCAGCGAAGTGGCTTCCGCAACAAAGGCAATAACCGAAGTACTCAATGAGGGATGGCATTTGGATCAAACGGTTCTTCTTCTGAGCCTCACGGAGACTTTCTTCTTTCAGCATCCCATCGTTGTAATTTATGGAACACGAAATCACTTTCAGCGTTAACACCATCAAAGCTCCTATAGATACACATTCATCACAATCAAAATTTGTCAAGAGTCAACTTATTGACAAATGTCAAAACTTTAACCAATAATGTCACACTCTCAGCTAAAGAACAATCACAAACAGAATATGTGGCTCCACCATGATTCATAAAACCTAAAAAGTTTCTAGTTTTTCAAAAAAATGTCTAATAATGCCACTCAATAATTGACCAATCAAATCGCGGAAAATGGAAACCAAATCGAGGAAAAGTTCAAATCAAAGAATTTACCAGTAGAGTCGATTCCTCCTTCTTTCCAAGCATCTCCGCTCATATAAAACACATGACTACAGAGAACAAATAATGACGAAATCGTTTCAAGTTTTTGATTTAGGATCAAGCAAAAGTAGCAAGATTCAGAGGGTAAAGCTTATTTTTTTTTGTAATATTTACCAGCCAATGAGATAAGCGAAGCCGAGGAAGAAAGTGATGAATCCAGACATTGGTCTGTAAATCGCCATTGAAGCGTAGCCGATTGTCATTGGGACGAGGAAGTGAAGATTTGAGGAGAAGCCAAAGGAGAGATAAGAGAGGAAAGCTCCAGAAGCAGCCGAGTAGATGTGTTTACCGAGTCGACTCGGGACGAGTCGCCAAGCGAAGGAAATTGGGATCGTTGCGACGAAGCAGAGGAGGAAACGGAGAACGGCGACGGAAACGCCGATCGAAGCGGCCATGGAACTCATGTCGAACGATTCCATGGTTGTGGAGTATGTTGTGTCAAATCGTTGCTGAGTTACGACGACTCGGTCAGTGATGGAATTCGACGGGGATGTTTTGCGGACATCAGAATCTCTATCAGATAGGTCTTTGTAGTTCGTGTAGTTTTGTTCGATCTCGTTGACGAGGTTTATTGAAATGACAACAGTACCCCTCGTTGTGTTGTTTATCATTAATTAATAACGTCTTGGAATTATCGAAAATAAAACACCGCCATTTTCTAGCTCAGACCTAAATTTTGTTTCATATATTTTATCAAAAATACTTTGGATAATATTTTTCAATATCCAAATTATTAATTTATGTTGCTTATTAACTTTCAATTGTATATACTAAATTTTGATTTGATGTTGTTTATCAAACAACTCAATTGCTGTTTTGTAGAACTTTTTTCTCCTAATTTTTCCAATTATCTATAATATCTGTTCCAAAAATTTGACATATATATATTCATCATAAAAAACTAATCTTCATCTACAATTAGCGAAATTTAGGTAAAAATTTCAAATTTTTGAATTTTTTAACCAATCCCATTACCTAAAATTTCTTTCATATATTTTATCAAAAATACTTTAGATAATATTTTTTAATATCCAAATTAGCTATTTATGTTTCTTATTAACTTTCAATTTATACAAAAACTAGATTAAGACCTGCATATATGCGGATTTATAATAACAAAATTTTAAATTCGTTAAAATAATTTAAAAATTAGAAAATAAAATTAGATCATTAATAAAAATATTAAAACATAAAATCAAAATCTAAGAATTGTTTATTTTTATTTTTATTTATTTTTAATTAAAATATTCAAAATATAGAGCTTGTTGTGAGTCCTTAGCAATATTAAATATTAACCTTACTTATTTGTAGTTCATTATTTTATCATCTATTTTTATTGTTGCGCTACATTAAAATTTGGACACGCAATTCGAATTTTTCGATTATGTTAACTCTCTCCCGGTTAACTCTTTCAAAACAATTCTCTCTACGTGCATCTTTTGTATATGATTTCTTTGCTTTCTAGAAAAATTATGCCTCTCAAGACACGTGTCAATAGTGTTTTTTACATAGTTTTTATTGATCTTCATTTTCATTGAACTCATCATTAGCATCTAGGATCTTATTTTCATGCAATCCTATATTAAAAACATAAAATCTAAATCTAAAAATTATTTATTTTAATATTCATTTTTTTCAGTTAAAGCATCCAAAACATATAGTCTGTTGCGAGTCCTTAACAATATTAAGTATTAACCCTACTTTACTTGTAATTCAATAATTTATCAACAATTTTGTTTTTTCTGTTTCGCTGTAATAAAAACTTGGGCATGCAAGTCGAGTTCTTCGATTATATTTACTCTCTTCCCATTAACTCTTTCCAAGCAAACAAAGTTTCTCTTTCTCTCCACATTCATCTATCGTATATAATTTCTTTGCTTTCTAGAAAAGTTATGCTTATCAAGACTCGTGTCCAAATCTTTTTTACATGATTTTGTTATCCTTATTCTCATTGAATTCATTATTAGCATCTAGGATTTCATTTTCAAGTAATCTTGCTTTGCAAATTTTGTATGTAATTATTTTGAAATTGTCTAATTATTGAATACTGAAAACACTTTAGATGTATACAATATTTAGCAAACGAATCTTGAAGGATATAAATTTGGAATACTGAATGAATCATAATTGATAAAAATTTGGAATACCGTATGCAGTGTTTTAATGATAATTATACAATAAAAGAAGAAAAATTATAACTACAGAATAAAACTCAGAAAGTATTATTTTGTTCAGTAAAAAAATATGAGAGATTTTATGTGTTTATATAAATATGAATTGTATTTTTGTTTTCTTTTAATATTAGTGTTTTAGTTTTTTTTTCTAAATTTAAATATCTCCTCTTATTCTACTTTTGTTTTTCTCTTCCAAATTGTATTTTTATTTTTATTTTAGATTTATTGTTTTAAATTATTTTCCTTTTCTAAACTGAAATATCTCTTTTTATTTATTTTTGTTTTATTTTAAATTTAATTATGATATATGTCAAAATCTGATCAATTGACTTACCATGTGTTGCGATTATATGAATTATTAACTTTGACACATCAAACTTTATACAATAAGATCTGATTTGATGTCATTTATCAAACAACTCAATTAATGTTTTGAAGGATATCTTTGTAAAAAAATAATTATATGATTGAATAACTTAACATGCAAACAAGATCATGATACATCTCATACTATGACACTAACATTAATTAAAAGTTGATTTCTTATAAATTAAGAAATGTATCAACATAACACATGTAGTATATTAACAAAAAAAATTCAAATCTAGGATAAGATTTTAATTTAAAAGTACTCAAATGATATATACTAAATAAATTTGTAAAAAAAAAAAAAATACATATCTAATACTTCAAATTTTCTACCTTCATGATTTATGAATCAGTTTTAGTTTGATATGTCCATAAATTAATTTAATGAATGAATTAGTTTTAGTTTAATATGTCCATAAATTAATTAGTTTTAGTTTAATATTTCCATAAATTTAATGAATACATATCTTTTACTATCTTTTTATAAAAGAATAAATTAGAACAATAAGTATGAAATATTTTTCTGTAGTTAAAATCTCACCCAAATTCAAACACTATTCTTTGACATTTCACATTAATAATTTCTTATCACCTTCTACAAAAACTTTCACAAATCCTCTTATTATATATAGACACATTACAAAGCAATCAAACATCAATATTCACAACTCATAAGTAACAAACAATTCATCAACTATTATAAAAATTGTTACTCTCTCATCAAAGAAAAAGATGATGAACACAACAATTGTAGCTACGTCAATAATGGTGATGATGCTGATAATGGGAATGGAGAACATTTTGGTTCAAGCAAATCGTCCCATGTGTGAATTTTCGGGTAAATGTGGTCGTCATGAACCTTCTCCGTCTCCTTTTCCTTCAGAATTTTCTTCACCATCAGAATCTCCTTCTCCTTCAGAATCTCCTTCTCCTTCAGAATCTCCTTCTCCTTCAGAATCTCATTTACCATCAGAATTTCCTTCTCCTTCAGAATCTCCTTCTCCCTCCGAAACTCCTTCTCCTTCAGAATCTCCTTCTCCTTCTCCAAATTTCTTTTCTTCTTCACTAAATTCAGATGGAAATGTTTTCTTTTGCAAGTTTGGTTGTTCTATTCATCATTGCTATCATCTTGGTATTAACTCAAGTAAGTTATCACTTCTTCGTAATTTTCTATTTCACTTTACGTTTAATTGAGAAATAATATGTGTATATAAGTTATCTTAATTAATTTATAACATTTTTTGTTAGTTGAAAAGTTTCAAATGTTAAGTTCATAGTTTTGATCAGAGTTTGTATATAACCAATGATAATATAAGTTGTGGTTGCGAATCTAATATTACTAATTATCTTTTCAAATAAGAAAAATTGAGTCTAATTTTCTCATTTGATAATTCAAATCATATATATATATATATATTTTTACTTTTTTTCAAATAAGAAAAAACTGAATCTAGTTTTCTCATTTGATAATTTAAATCATATATATATATATATGTGTGTGTGTGTGTTTATACTTATTCAATTTAATATTTAAAACTTTAACATTTAATTTGGCTCTAACTAAAGTTTTTTTTTGTCATTTTATTATTTTTTCTTCTTGAAAACTTGCCATGAAAACAGAAGACGCCGAGGAGTTTGACGCATGCGTCACAAAATGTTCGAATACATGCAAGAAAAGCAACAACATACATGTATAAATTAATAAAGAGCAAACGATTACTTAGCTCCTAGTATGTTTCTTTTTCTTGCTCATGGCATGGAGAATCAAATGTATCTTATGATCATGATGTTTTGTATGAGACATAGTAAAATAAAACAACTATTAAATTAATAATGGTATATTTCGTATATACATGTTTCAATACAACTATACAAGCCAACACACGTCACGCTAAATTCAAAAACCAACTAAAGTTCATGCTATTTTGATGAAATATTATCTCTATGTCAGACTTGTGAGAAACATGTGGTACCTTCTCAGAATTTGTTTTTTTTTTGTATGAATGTTTTTTTTTTGGGGGTATGATTCTCAGAACTTCTTTCTAAGAAAACCTGTAAAACATTAGAATATGTGTTAGATTTGTGAGAGACATGAAACTTTCTCATAAGAGCAACTCTAATGTAACTACAAAACATCAAATATTGTGTACTTTTCTTTCTAACGGAATTATAAAAAGAACGACAAATTTTTAAAATCGTTTTATAAATAGTGTTACTATTTATCATATTAAATATTAAAATATCATATTTAGGTTTTTATTTTATAACTTAATAAAAATTTTAATTCTTAATTAAATAATATTTGTAACTAAAAAGTAAGTATACTATAGATTTAATTGTACTTTTTAATTTTAATAATATAGAGTTTTTATTGTAAGTTATATTTCACAAAATATCTAAACGCAAATTAAACATCTATGTACAAATATTCTAATTTTAAAAATTAATATAACTTAGTTTATTTTTCAGTACTTTTTAAATATAACGAATGTAATCTTACATTTGATTTACATGTTCCAATAGCTTAAAATGCAAAGAATATCACAATATTTTCAATAATATCACATTACAATTAATAAAAATATTTTGCTATCAATAATAATTTCCTTATTTATATTAGTAATTCAAACTTAGAATCAGATTTTTAAACTATAAATTCATAATAAAAAAATCATACTCTAAGTTGATTTATACTAAGTATATAAAAAGAAAAAAAAATCCAGAAAATACATTGAACATTAACCTTCATTAACTAAGAATCATTTTAAAATTTTTTTTATATCATTTATATAATAAAATCACACACATCCTACTATATATACACATATAGCAAAACAATCAAATGCCAACGTTCACAACTCTAAAATAACAAAAAGCTACTTCAAATATTATCTAAATAAACAAAACGATGAACATAAAAAATGTAATGATGGTGATGACGGTAACAATGGGATTGGGGAACATTTAGGTTCAAGCAAGATGTGGTTGTCATTTTCCTTTTCCTTCTCCTTTTCAAAATCATATCTCTTTTACGACTATTTCAAAATCTCCTACCTTTTCACAAAATTATGTTTCTGCTTCACTCAAAGACACTTATGCTTGCATGTATAGTTGTGTTGTTGATCATAATTGTTCTAGCTATAGCAAAGATCCAAGTAAGTTCTTACTTTTTGGTTTTATTAATTTTTTTCTTAATTAAGGATTATCCTCTATACATATAAGTTAGCATAATCATTTGAAAATAACATTTTATCAGTTAAAGATTTAATGTTAAACTATTGGTAACACATTATACAAGTAGATGTGGATCTTGAAAATTAAATTATCTTTTTAAATAAGAAAAACTGAATTTTATGTTCATACTTAATTATTCACATTTATATATTTATACCTAATTAATATATTCAAAGATTCAAAATTAATTTTTTTTAAATTTAACTTAAATTATATTTTATCTTTCTATCTTTATTTTTGGAAATTTAAAACGCAAACAGAATATAAGAGCCAATTTATCTCATGTGTCGCAGAATGTGCAGAGACATATTGTAAGAACTAAAGCAATATAAGACATATATATATATATATATATATATATATATATATATATATATATATAGTAAACACATAGCAAGTGATTATTTCGCTCCTAGTATGTTTTTCTTTTTCTTGCTCATGGTATGCTTAATCACATATGTATATATATGATCACGATGTTATGCATGAGATATAATAAATATAATAAGTAGTAGTAAATTATGAATTTAATCAAAGTGTATTTTAGGGATTAGCAGTTTATGTGTTAATATACAAGCCAACACATGTCAATTTCCATTTTCATGTTTGAATGTTTTTTTCTAAGTGCAACTTCTAACGGATGAATTTCGCAGAATAAAGATCCTGTTAAGATTTAAATATACACATAATTTTGTACTCTCTGTATAAGAAATGTAAAATAACAAAATTACAAGAGCAAAATAAATTTGATAATTGATATTAAACTAATAAATAAAATTTTGTAATTGGATAATCGATGTAAATTATTAAGGGATCATCATTTTTACATGCGGAAAAGAAAGATGTATAACAAAATTCCAAGACTTAAGGTTTTCTTTTTAACAAAAAGGCTTAAGGTTATCTATTTCTAAACTATCATTCTCACATAATCGAAATGGGTTAGGGAGCAAACTGGAAATATTGTAAAAACAAGAAAAAAAATAGGTGGGGATAAATCAAAGAAAAAATTATACATAACAAAATATATTTAATAAAATCATATTTTGACGATTCCATTTTTGTTTATAAAAAAGTAGCATCACAAAGCTCCAAAATCCAATGTCTATCACCAAATAGTTTTCCAAATATGAATTGGTATACTAATTATGAAAATTAGTAAAGATCTTGTTATACAGTTGTAGAAAAGAATCACAAAGTTGTAACAAAACTTTATACAAACATCATAAATATGGTAAAATCCATATATTTATTTCAAAATAGGAATTTAATCAAATATAGTTTATTATTAGGGTAATTGGCAAAATACCTTAATTAAGATTTGAAATGTGAAAAATACACTATATTTTTTATAACTATATTTATTGATATGTAGAAAGACTATCAACCAGATTTTAATTAGGAGATACCTAAATAAAAAAATAATAATTATGATTTTAATTGAAGATAAAGATATCTAATTATTTTATATTTTACATTTTATAATTAAATTATTTAAAAATTTATCTCTATAAACATAGATAGTTTTCTAAAACTTATTAAGGTTTATATAAATGAAGCATAAATATTTTTCTAAAAAAAATCAGAATGTCCTTACAAAAAAAGACATAGCTTTCTTTAGACAAGTTTCCGAACATTGTTTCAGGTAACACATAGTTTCAGACAACACATAGCTAAATTTTTGTGCTAAATTTTAGAAGCAATCTATCTTTTTTTTAGAAGCAACCTATCTATACCAAAATCTTCATAAATCATATATCATATCATCAAAGTTAAGACTTTCCTTAATGACGAATAATTTACTTCTTTTATTTTGTATTAACCACAAATTTTCATAAATGTTTATGAAAAATTTGGTTCAGTAACCCAAAAACTATAATCCACAAACTAACCTATTTCTCTTTTTTATCTTTTTATAAGCATTCAGTTAGTTTTTAAATTATAATTTTTTTAGTCATTCAATAAATTCACCCAATTCTTATTTAAAATCCAATTATGCACAACATTTTTCTTAATTAAAAACCAAAATCAAAACCAAATTCAGAATATAAGAACAATCATGATACGGCAGCATTGAAACAATGCTCATACGATACTATTCAACATAGTGAGTTTAGCTACAATTAGATTTTGATTTTTGTACACCACTTGTACCTATGATGCAGCATATGCAAATCACAGTAAACATATACGGAGAATCCTTATTAAACCTAGATTTAAATTTTGGTGGTGACTTCAGAAAAGAAAACATACAATTGTCCTTATTTTAAAACATAAATCTATAAACTCTGAATTTTAAGTTTTTTTGTTCGTCTCGAAAGCTATATATGTTATTTTCGTTTCTTATAAATACATGTACCAATATAAAAGATAATGCTAAAACTATATATTTATGATTTGTGTTCTAGTTTTGGAGCAACAATCTTAAATTTATGCTAGTTTTTAATTGTCTTATGAACAGTGCTATTTAAATATTTAAATATTATTCTCAGTTTTTTTTTATATTTGTTCTTGACAGCGGTTTTCATTTAATAACTTAATTAAATTATTGATTATTAATTAAATAATATTTATAACTAAAAAATAAGTATACTATATAATTTTGGCACTTTTACTTTTAGTAATAAATAATTTTAATTGTAAGTAATATTTCACAAAACATCTAAACAAACATGCCAGTTAAATATTTATGTCCAAATATTCTAATTTTCAGAATTAATATAACTTAGGGGGACATATTTGGATTAGTAATTTAGATAAATCCAAATCTATGAATATTTTAATGAATTTAAAGTTTTAAAATAATTTAAACAAATTCTGTTTTCTAAATTCTCTCAAATAGCATCATAGGAGGTGATATTTCAATCTATGTATTTTTAACTCTAAATTACCTCTCAAATCATCCCAAATTATTTTTAAAAATAATTTATTAATGAAATATCAATTTTCCAATAAAGCAAAATTTTAATGAATTTGTATAAATGACTAATCCAATAACCTTGGATTTTAAGTAACTTTTTTAAATGCTAGATCCAATAAGAAAGGATTCGAAAAAAAAAAACAAATCATCTCAAATCATTAATCCAATACACCCCACTTAGTTTATTTTCCATTACTTTTTATATATAACGAATCTGATCTTATATTGAATTTATAATTAATCAGTTATAAGAAATTTAGTATTCATCAAATTTTTAAAAAATAATAAATTCTAAATTTATAATATAATAATGAAAAAATATCAGTTTAGTATGATATTTGGTGGTTTAGTTAGTGTTAGGATATCTCAGAGATATGGAATGTTAACATATATATGTTTATTACCTTATTAATAAATAGATAGATTTTTTTTTTTATGGTCAATTTAAACTTTATATTAAAAAGAGGTTCAGGCTCAAAGTTAGCCCAATACAAAAGAAGAAACCGAGATAAGTGCTGTCTTTGCTAACTCGTTAGCTTGACAATTCAACTCTCTCGAGACAAACGAAAAGGAAACATAGATGAAGTTTGCAGATAGATTGTGAATATCAGAGAGGATGCCGTATAGCTCCGTCGATCTGTTATCGGTGAAAAACTTGATAGACAAGTTATAAACTTCGTAAAAATAAAGATGAGAAAAACTATTTTATTATGATTTCTTTTCTCTAAAATCTATCATATAGTAATAAAAAAACGAAATAAAATATCAAAACACCAAATTGGTTATTATTTTAACACTATATTTATTTTGGTGTCGTTAGAGATGTCTAAGTTGTTTCTAAGACAACTTTGAAATATTAGAATTAGAATAGATGTCAGATTTGTAGAAGATATATGGCAGTTTCTAAGGATTTGTTCAAATAGCTTAAATGCAAAGAAATCACAATACTTCCCATACTATCACACTAATAATTTCTTAAGTTATATTCATAAATCAAATTTAAAATCAGATTTTGAAACTATAAATTCATTAAAAAGACTTATACTCTTAGATGATTTATACTAGGTATATAAAAAGAAAAAAATCTGTACAATACATTAAACATTGACCTTCATAATTTATAAATTATTTTTTAAAACAATTTCATATCACTTATATAACAAAATCACAAACATCCTACTATATATACACCTAAAGCAAAACAATCAAACGTCAGCATTCATAATTCACAAATAACAAAAAGCTACTTCAATTATTATCTAAATAAACTACATGATGAGCATAAAAAGTATAGCCATGTTAATGATGGTGATGATGGTAACAATAGGAATGCAGAGCATTTCGGCTCAAGCAAGATGTGTTCGCCATTCTCCCTCTCTTTCTCTTTCTCCTTCTCAAAATCATATCTCTTTTAAGACTATTTCTTCTTCAGAAGCTCCGACTTTTTTACAAAATGATGTTTCTGCTTCATCAAAGTCACTCAAAGACACTTATGCTTGCATGTATAGTTGTGGTGTTGATCATCATTGTTCTAGCTATAGCAAAGATCCAAGTAAGTTATTACTTTTTGTTATTTTTTTTTTTTTGTTACACTTAAATTTTAATTAAGGATTAGACTATGTACATATAAGTTAGCATGATCATTTAAAAATGACTTTTTATCAGTTGAAGATTTAACGTTAAACTATCAAACCATATATATTTATATTTATATTTATATTAGTATATTCAAAGAATCAAAATTATAATTTTTTGGATTTAACTTAAGTTATATTTTGTCTTTCTATCTTTTTTTACGAGAACAGAAAATAGGAGCCAGTTTGACTCATGCGTCGCAGAATGTGCAAAGACATGTTCTAAAAACTAAAACGATATAAAATATATATCTTAATAATAAAATATATATCGCAGAATGTGCAAATGCTTATTTTGCTCCTAGTATGTTTTTTTCTCTTGCTCATAGTATGCTTAATCACATATGTATCATATGATCACGATGTTATGTATGAGATATAATATATATAATGATTATTAAATTACAAATTTAATCACAGTATAATTTAGGGATTAGCAGTTTACGTGTCAATACAAGCTAACACATATCAATTTTGATTTTCATGTTTGAATCTTTTTCTGAATACAACTTCTAACGGATCGATTTTTCAGAATAATAAATCTTGGTAAGATTTAAATATAAAATTATTTATATATTTAAATCTTACCAAGATTTATTATTCTGAAAAAATCGATCCATTCGAATTAATAAATCCTGGTATTATTTTTGAATCTTTTTTTGAGTGCAACTTCTAAAGGATCGATTTTTTAGAATAATAAATCCTGGTATTATTTTTCAGAATAATAAATCCTGGTAATATTTAAATATCTCATTTTGTTTTTTTGTTGTTGTCTCAAAAGCTATATATGTTATTTTTCATTAATTTGGATATTCGTTTCTTAATTATACATGTACCAATATTAAAAAATAATGATTTTGTATTCTAGTTTTTGGAGCAACGTCTTAAATTTCTGCTAGTTTGGGAAATTTTTCATATTATTTATCAAAAAATACATGGTTGAACTAACCCCCATATCCTGAGAATAACATTTCCTTAAAAATATTATTACATAGCAATACATTAAAGTTTGATTTTGTAGTTGTTTATCACATGATTATAAACTGAAAATTTCCTCAACGTATCTTCTGCTCAAAAGCAGTTACATGACATCAATTGTTAACCTAAATCACACCATTAGCTATAGAAAAATGATTAATTTTACTCTTGAGCTTTTCAGTCTTTTTTTTTTTACTTCACATAACTTCATCGTGTCATATAACTTCATAAGCCCAAAAATGATTAATTTACTCTGACTAAATTCTATAGGGCAAGAGGAATTTTCTTATATTTTGTGTGTGTGTGCATTAACCTTTGGTACTAAAAAGAGTCAATTTCAATGGATGAGATTTATTTTTTTGAACTAAAAATAAGATGCCATTTTGAAAAATTCTCCATTTTTAGTTACAAAGATCCTAAATAGTCTCATCCCCACTGTGTATATAATCAATCTTTCATCTTCAAGCTTCCTAACTCCGGGTCAAAAATAATAATTCTCACCGAGATGGCTTTCAGAATCACCGTAAGTTTAATTTCTTTCAAACTTGTTCAAATTAAAAATGTCGACAAACAGTAAAAATTTCGAATTTTATTTACTTTTTTGTAAATTTGCTTTTTGTTTGTTTTGTAGAGCCAATTGCGATCGGTCGGTAACCAAATAGGTGGCTCTCGTCGCTTCGCCACCACAGTCGCCAATGACGCCAAACAAACATATAACAAGTAAGAGATTTACTGATTATATGATCCTAATTTGATTATATGTGAGTTTGCTAATATTATAATGATTTGATTAGTATCATCTTCTCAAAACTATAGCTAAAAATGTAACTATTTTTGTATAACAAAACAAAATAATACCATTAAAGAAACATATAAATTTGATCAAACAGGTTCTCAGTAACGGGAGAGTTTGCACCAGTGGCTATAATAGGAGGTTTTGTTGCTTTAGCGGTTGCTATGGCCGGACACAGCCTCAAGCAGCAGCTTGTGCATTCTCCGGCGGTCAGTACAAGGAAGAACAGAAGAGCGGCTGTGGCCGAAGTCGATGATCCGATCAACTGTGTCGCCTCCGCCGACAAATTTATCAACAAGTCTTGGCTAAGGAAAGTAGGTCAGATTCAAGATAAGTCCGGTGCTATCTTATCTGATCCCACCAGACCTAACCCATTCACCACGTATGTTCTCAGTGACCGGATTAAGTTATTATGAATTTGGTTTGATCTTTTTAAGTAATTAAAATTGAAATCGTCATTTTTGTGTTTTTTGTTTTGTGTGTGCATGTGAACTCAAAAGGCCTCGAAATGCAGAGACATTGAACTCCGTTGGTGTGGCTCCAAAGGGAATCTGAAAACTTTATATGAATCGAATAAGTTTTTTTTTTGGGCTTTCAAATCAAACTTTCTAATTTTTGGTTTACTATGATTTGTACATATAATAATCTCTTTGACATTGTGACAAATAAAGCTGCTTCCTATTAGTAAAGTTCACATGCATTTATCTCAATTTCAACTAAAAAGGGTCATTCATATATTGAGTTTAAAGTCTTCTTCCCAATGCCATCACTGATCAAACAAAGAGCAGTAGTACCAGTCATGTCCGTGAAGCAGCTCACAAACAAGAACAACTTTGACATGGAAACTTAAAACTGTGTCGAGAAGCAATCACAAGAAAAGCAAATATGAAGATGTCGATTCACCTTACAGATGCTTTCAAGTGAAGATGGTTGCTCTGCAATCTGTTTCTCGTGGATAAACTGATTTAAGAAAGCATGTCAAGAAAGCTTTTGTCTAATCTCCCATCATGCAACATATTCCCGACCAAACTTATCGTTGAAGCGTCCCCACAGAAGCCGCAACTCCTCATTTCCTTGATGAGTTCTGCTGATGCTTCTTTGTCACCATCTCTGAGATGTGCCCTAATCAGCGTATTATAGGTACAGTCACTTGGGAGAGGCCCATCTTCTTTCTTTTCTCTGAACAAGGCATCCGCTTCCTCCTTTAAGCCTTTCCCACAAAACCCTGAGATCATTGTAGTGTATGTCACAACATTAGGCTTCATCACTCCTTTCAAGCTGAGGCTACTAAACAGATCCCAAGCATCTTCCACTTTACCAGCCTTGCACATCCCTTCAATGATGATAGTATATGTGACAATATTGAGTTCCATTTCACTCTTTTTCTGCAGATCCTGGAAGATGACCAGTGCTTTCTCGAGCTTCCCGTTATTACAAAGTCCATCTAACAAAATGCTGTATGTCCAAATATCACGAGGTGTACACCAGCAGAAACCATGTTTGAAAACTTCTTGAGCATTCTCACAGTCGCTGGCTTGGAAAAACCCTTTGATAAGAGTGATGTAGGTGACTGTGTTGCCAACTAATCCTCTTTGAGTCATCTCTCGGAAGAGTTCCACAGCATCTTCGACCTTTTTAGACTTGCAAATTGCATCAATAAGAGTATTATAAGTCACTACGTCTGGTAGACAACCTTTGCTAACCATCAAAGCAAACATCTGCTTGGCCTCCTCTAGACGATCGTGCATCGGTGCATGCAAAGCCCATTGATCAGTGAACTGTATGTGAAACTGTCAGGATCTATAGACCTACCGATCATTTCCTCTTACCGTGACGACAGAAACCATTGAGCAGCGAAGAAAGCGTGACAACGCTGGGCTCATACCCGAGTTTCATCATCATCCCGAGCATAGGTAAAGCAAGAGGGAGCTGAAAGCAGCAGCAGAAACAGTTTATCAGAATACTCCCAGCATTTCCATCTGTTGGAAGAGAGATACCACAACATCATACTTGTTGATCTTGGCGATGGCACTCAACAATCTACTGAAATCAATAATTGAAGGGACAGGACGAGACTTGACCATCTCACCGAAGAGATCAACTGCATCGTCTAACTTAATATCGTGTAGAAACCCACATCTAATTTTCTCTCTGTAATCATAACTAGCACCAGAGAAAGCTCGTCCCAAGCAACCAGAACCGCTAAGACTAGGAACAGTTCCATGATTACCTTTCTGCAGAATTTGCCGGTGAGTGAATCCCTTGGATACTTTGGGACCCAATCTCCTCATTTTCTTAGTTTAACTCTAAAAATGTATTAAATATAATATTATCATTTTTGGTAGATTAACTTTACTTGAGTTTTTCCATAAAAAAACACCAAAAAATAACATTTTCAAAATCGGTTCGACCCGATTTTATTTTAAAATAAAACAATCTCATTTGGCAAATTTGTCTACTCCAAGAATTTTAAATTTCCCTCTCAAGAACATATAAATATTTATTATTCATAGATACACATACGCACATTGTTATAACTTGCGTAGCAAGAAGCAGTCATGAGTATAACACTTAAAAATTTTATAATATTGTGCTTGGAAGATTTACAATAACTTCACACAACAGACTTTTTCCACTCATTTTCCCGGAATATTACTCTTCGATCCGAATTTTCCCGGAAAGTTACTCTTTCGTTAATATAAGATAAAACCCACATGAAGATGTTCAACATTATAATCAATGACATGGCGATCATCTGGAGAAGGATTGTTTCAGCATTAATGCTCTTGAGATATTTCTATAATCCTCTCCTTGTTTTCTTTTTCATCGGTTCGGTCCTTTTCTTGCTTATCATCGACCGTAATCGCTCTGTTTATGAAGAAATCGAAAGTTTATATGTTCTGTGCACGTTTGAAGAAGACAGGATAGTTGATGGTAACACCATAGACGAGAACAAAGAATGTTGTAATCTCACAAGATACTACTATGACGACGATGATTGTTTTGGCTTTTACGGTGGTTTTCACGAAGTTGATCATGATGGTGATGTACGGAATGATGATGAAGATCATAGCCAGTGCAATCAAGATGGTGGTGATGATGGTATTGAAAACCATGATGATGATCATCATGCCCATGTTGATGATGAAGATGGTGATGATGATACATTGACGAGCAGGATTGAAGATTACATTGCAAGCGTTTACAATGGATGAAGAGAAGAGAGACGAGCAGAGAATCTGTTTAACACCAGCGGAAACCATCTGCTTGAAAACTTGTTGAGCATTCTCACAATCGCCAGATTCGAAAAAGCCCAAACATACAAGGTTCAAAATATGATATTTCAACTTTCATCTTTGGTCAATGGCTCTTACTAGGCATTTTTTTTCATAGTAAATTTTGTAATATCGGAACTATAAACTGATTGAAACAATTAATTCTTTGTATAACTTAAATACATTTCCAGTTGTATATATATTTCAAAATTGTTTATCGCCTAGTTTTAATTGCAACAAAAAAGGTTAATTATTATTACTCTTAGAAAATAGTGTTACACAATGCATAATTTTTATATGGTGTGATAATTTTTAGATGGAACAAATCTAAGTTTTCTCGACTAAATAGAAATGATAAAAATTCTAAATGATGATAATTTCCTAAAGTAAAATATTAGTAAATATGCATAACTTTATAAAACTTTCGAAACTTTAGTTTGATATTTTATTTTACATCTATCTATATATATATATATATTAGTTAGGTTTTTTTATTCTGCATAAATTTTGGATATAAGCTCAAACGAATAAAAAGTTCACTATTCAAAAATAGTTGGTGAAGGAGACCATGATAGTGCTTGTTCACTCTTTTCCCGGTTCCAAAGTAGCTTGGAATGCACTACTATTCTCGTTTGAGAGATTACAGCCTGGAATGCATTGCTATTCTCCTATGCCCATGCAGGTGACTTCCCATAAACAAAGCTTTAGCTGAGGCGGCGATGATCCGGTTCATCCAGCGCGACGGAGGAAGGCGCTTATCATTTTCTAGTTTCATTGTTTCATTTGAATCCAATTTCGGTTTAAACAATGTCCGAATCCACAAATGAAAGCTTCAAACTTTTCTCCCTTTTGTTAGAAATTCAAGAAGTCGGACTGAAATAGAATTCAAAAACTTGGATTCAAAAATGAAAATTTTTTCCTCTGTTTGTTGGAGATTCAAAAAATGTGAATGTTGGAATTTCAAGAATTTAAAAACTTATTTGTCCTTCAAAAACTGAATCTTTTGTTGTGTTATGGCCTTTGGGTGTTGGCTTTGATTAGTCAATTCAGACAGTATATTATGGAGAAAGTGTTGAAGTTAATGGTTTAACAATCCTAGAGTTAACCGGATCAGACCGTATTGGATTGCTATCTAAAATCTTTGCGGGTCTCTCTAATCTAAACTGCAATGTAGTTGACGCTAAGCTCTGGACACATCACGGCAGAGTCGCATCCATAATTTATGTCAAAGAGTATAGCTCGGGATCTCCGGTCGAAGATTCACATAGAATCTCCAGAATCAAGGCACGTTTAAGACATGTTTTGAAAGGCGATAACGGCGTTTCAATAGATTTCACACACACGGAAAGGAGAGTTCATCAGTTAATGTTTGAAGACAGAGACTACAAGATGAGACCACATGACGACAAGACTCCTGTTGTGGTTGTTGTCACGGCTCAGAATTAGACCGAGAGGAGTTATTCGGTTGTTAACGTTCAATGTCAAGACCGAAGAAAGCTTCTTTTGACGTGGTGTGTACGTTAACCGACGTGGTCTGAATGTTACAAGAACAGAGATATCTACGAGCAATGACATGGCTACAAACATATTCTACGTGACTGATGCAGATGGGAACGAGGCTAAACCGAGATTGATTGAATCGGTTAGGGCGAAACTTCAAATGCCATGCGTGGAGAATAAGAAAGATGAAGAAAGAGAACAACAGACAAAGGCAGTATTGGTTTCAATTAGTAGTTTAGTTTGGAGAAATCTCTTCAACTTTGGTCTGATTAAATCATGTTCTTAAATCTTGATTAGGCGTTAAGATCTTAGTGTTTAGGTTATGTGGCAAAAGCAAAGTTTAATATAGCGGAATAAAGGTTGTAAAGTTTCTTCAATGTCAGTTATACGATCTTGTACATAAAAAAAAGGGATTGATTATAAATCTGAATTTAGAAAATTTCTCGCTCTATTGGTGATGATGATGATACATTGACGTGCAGGATTGAATCTGTTTGTCTCGCTCTTGTCTGATTCATTACGAGTTTGACTTACAAGAAACTCACTTGGTTAACTGAAAAATATGCTCCTATTGACATAACAGTGCCACTTATGAGGAGAGAGTTCTAGAGAAGACAAACTCTCCCATCAAGCCAGAGACAACTTTCAGAAATGTAATGATTTGTAACAGGGAAATAACAAACAACAGTGTCAGTCATGTTGATGAAGCTTAGACACAGCAGTAACCAATCCACCAGTGACATAAGAAGAAGCAGTCAATATATAAAAGGTTGATTTACCTCACTGATCGGAACAGGGTTGCTCGACAATTTCTCTCGCGGATGAACTAAGCATCTCGAGAAAGCTTTTGTGTAATCTCCCATCACACAACATATTCCCGACCAAACTTATCGTTGAAGCGTCCCCACAGAAGCCACGGCTTCTCATTTCCTTGATGAGTTCGGCTGATGAGTCTTTGTCACCATCTCTAAGATGTGCCCTGATCAGCGTATTATAGGTACAGTCATTTGGGAGAGGCCCATCTTCTTTCATTTCTCTGAACAAGGCATCCGCTTCTTGCTTTAAGCCTTTCCCACAAAACCCTGAGATCATTGTATTGTAGGTTACAACATCAGGCTTCACCACTCCTTTGAGGCAGAGACTATTGAATAAATCCCAAGCATCTTCCACTTTACCAGCCTTGCACATCCCTTCAATCATAATATTATATGTGACAATATTGAGTGCCATTTCACTCTTTTGCTGCAGATCCTGGAATATGACCAGTGCTTTCTCAAGCCTCCCATTTTTACAAAACCCATCCAAGAGAATGTTGCAAGTCATAGTATCAGGAGGGACACCAGCAGAAACCATCTGTTTGAAAACTTGCTGGGCATTCTCACAATCTCCAGCTTGGAAAAACCCTTTGATGAGAGTGTTGTGAGTGACTGTGTCTCCACTCATTCCTCTTCGAGACATCCCGTGGAAGAGTTCCATAGCATCATCTACCCTCTTAGACTTGCAAAATCCATTTATGAGAGTATTATATATCACTACATCTGGGAGACAACCCTTGCTAACCATCAAAGCAAACATCTGCTTGGCCTCCTCTAGACGATCTTGCAAGCAAAACCCGTTTATAAGTGAACCGTAAGTGATAGTAGTAGGATCTATAGACCTTCTGATCATCTCCTCGTACAATTCTTCGGCCTCCAAAAGCTTCCCTTCTTTTGCAAATGCATCGATTAATGCATTGAAAGTGACAACACCGGGGTTGATTTTCCTCTTAGTAGTCGAGAGGCATCGCTCCATCTTCCGTAATTACAAAGGCAGCTTATGAGTGAGCTGTAGGTATAAACATCAGGTCTAATCCCTTTGCTCTCCATCTCACTGAATAGGTCGAGTGCGTCATTCACATGTTTGTGTTTGCAGAGACCATCCATAATAGTGCTGTAGATCACAACATCAGCCTCCATTCTTTCCGCTTCCATCTTCTTGAGCAGATTCAAAGCCAAATCAGTATGCCCTCTCTTACATACTCCGTTTATTACCGCACCGTAAGTAATCAGATCTGGTTGATACCCTTTCACAACCATCCGTTCAAGTAAAGCCACAGCTTCAGAGACTCTGTTGTGGAGAAACAGGCCATGGATAAGGGTATTGAATGTGACGGTGTTGGGTTGATATCCCATTTCAACCATTTGATCAACCAAAGCTACGGCATCAGAAATCCTCTTACCGTGACGACAGAAACCATTGAGAAGCGAGTTAAGCGTGACAATGTCAGGCTTATATCCGAGTTTCATCATCTTCCCAAGAATAGCTAAAGCAAAAGAGAGCTCAGAGCGGCGGCAGAAACAGTTAATCAAAATACTGTAAGTATAGTCATTATGTGCAATCCCTAACATTTGCATCTTCTCGCCGAGAGAGATGACAACATCAAACTTCTTCATCTTGGCAATGGCACTCAGCAATTTACTGAACTCAATAATGGAAGGGCGTGGACGAGACTTGGCCATCTCACCGAACAAATCAACGGCATCGTCTAGCTTTATATCACGAAGCCCACTTCTCAAAATCTCTCTGTAATCATCACTAAGACCTGAGAAAGCTCGTATCCAGCAACGGAAACCGTAAAAATTACCTCTCTGGACAAGACTCCGATGAACAAATCTCTTTGGTGTCGACGAAATCACCATCACCCTCCACATTTTCTCGATTTGGATTCAGCTGATTTGGGGATCCGAGAGAGTGAGAGAGAAACTGCTTTCACCCGATTTTGTAACCCGGTAACCCGATTTCAGTGACCGGTTCATTCTGTCTTCTCTTGGTACGGTCTGGTTTTATAATTTTTACTTTTGAAGTGTCACACAACTCACAACGAAGAAGAAGAAATGGAAAATAAAATCGAATTCTCAAACCCGGTTTAGCAGAAATGAAGAAGTTAAGAGTCAAAAACTAGTCAAAACGATATAAATCAGAGGTACACAACTTTTATATCTAAACCGGTTCAGAGTCAGTCTTGGATTTAAAACCGGTTATTATCAAGGTCTGAGAAATCCGGCTATTTACAAAATAGGTCTGTTCTTCTCTTCCGTTAGAATTGTAAACCGGTTTAGTTTCATTCACTCCGGTCTAAATGATACGCTGCTGCGTTTTCTTCCCAAAGAAGGCAGTTTCAGTGAGAAACAAAGTTAAAACTCTTCAACTTCAGTCTCACAATTTTACATTGAACCTAAATCATGAAACAAAGACCCTAATTACCCTCTTTACTATTTTACATCGATTTTATAATTTACCCCCCTCTCCCAAATATACTACAACAAGGTTACAAGAGAACAGCTTTTATAACCTCTTAACTAAAACCAAACTCCGGTTTGAGACTTTTTAAACCCGCCTCAACCGGTCCTTGCACGAGCTCGGAAACACAGCTACAGAGTCTACACATAACCCGCCTTTGGTATGCGTACAGTCGATCTGAGTCATCGAGAACTTTAGCTTCGTCGACCAACTTTTCGATTTCCCGACCACAAAGTCACCGGCATGGTGATAGTTCCAGCTTCCTGGCTCGGTCAACTTGCATTGAGACGAGGAGTGCTGACCATCTTCGGTCCAGAGCTGAAACCGAACCGGTTTAATGTGCCATCCATGAATCTGTTCAGTGTGGCAAACCCTCCAACCAAACCGCTTTCCCGGTTTGCCTAGGTGCAGCCTGAAGTAGACGCTGTAGGTTCCAGCTGGAAACGGAAACTCGATCTCTCCATCAACTTCAAACCACCAGATTTGCTGAACATATGCTACTGAAGAAAATCTGCAGGAATCAACAAAATGGGTTTTGGTCAATTCAAGAATCATAGTTACACAAAACGTTTCATCAAAAGTTATGACCTTTAATATATATATGAATCATATAGCAAACATGAATCAAAAGCTAAATCATCTGAAAGATTATGCAAAATGCAATGAAAGATTATGAGAAAACAACAATGCGCGAGTACGAACTCTCACCGAGATTCATCAGTCGGAATGTGGCTCCAGTATCTCCGATCATCAATCCCAGTGATTGATAATCCCTTGGCCGATATGCATAAACAGAGATCACTGGTTCGTTTATCCACCCAAGCTTTCTGCAGAAAAAAATCAAATAAGCGAATCAAAAACATAAACAATCGAATCGAATTGAAGAATAAGCATTTTGTTTCATGCGAATCAATTTACGAAAAGGAATCCCCAAAATTCTTTTAAAACCCTAAATTTTCTATGGATATCTGAAAAGAAGATAAAGAAATACAGAGAGAAAGCTATGAGAAAAAAGGACGAACCTTTGTTCCTTCGTCGAAGGAATTAACACGAGAGAGAAAATTGTAGACATCTCTTTTGCACAGTTTTTCCGGGAAATCACCGAGGATTTTCTCGAGAATCAGTCTGTAGCCTGGAGGAAGCTTCGATTCCCAGACGAAATCAGCCCAGGAAGCAGAACGAGAAGCCCTGTTTAGCTTTGAGAATCGGCAGATCTCAACCGGATCCAAATTCTGAAGAATCAAAGCAACACAACTCTCCGGCAAATCCCCAAAACCAGGCTTAAACAGATCTCGATTCCCAGAACAAGACGAAGAAGATAAACCATTGTAAAACAGAGAGAGTCCCGAACCCATTGAAACACCCACGGAAGAGATAAAAAAAAAAAAAAAATTCCTTTTTCGACGTGAAATCGAAGAGTCGAAAAGCTGTTTTAGCCGTGGATCTTCACTGAGAAAACGGAATAATCATATGAAATTTCGAGACTTTCGTTGTGGGTTTCTTCTTTTGACGAAGAAAATCAAATCGTGTCTCGGAAACAAAGCAAATGGAGAGAAAAGAAGGGTTTGGTGGTGACAGAGAAAATGGTGTAGAAGGATTCGGATTTTGGACGCTGACGCAAATGGGAGGAGGATATGAACGTATATATATATGCTTCAAGTGGACTTGAGGATCTATTAAATTAATATAAATAAACAAACTATAATTGACATTTTTTGTGGCTGGTTATTTGTGAATAATCGTTGCAAAGTGTATTTTGCTTTATCTCTTGTATAGTATGGAAATAATCTGATTGGATTTTGAATTTTTTTTTTAACCTGAATTTAAAATTATTGACCGTACATTGTTTTTTGTTATCCACAAATGTTTGTAATCTTCGAGCTGTAAGAATTAGATATATAACCATAAGACAAGTCTACAACTACAAGACTACAAGTCTACAGCCATTATTACTTATCCAAAATAACTAAATAACTAAACATTTGAATATATATTTTTAATTCCTAATAGTACCAACTCATTTCATAAAAAACCTTTTGTTGCATTTTTTTATTTATTTTTATTTATAAATTCCTTCATTAATCATTCCAATTTTAAAAATGATCATACACATTTTCCAAATATCTTTCTGTCTTTCTTATCATTTTTTTACAAAACTATAAGGTACTATAAATAAATCATTTTTCCAATAATTATGAATCAATAAAAATTCAATTTACTCAAATAACATTCAATAATACTTGAGATATAAGTTTGAATCAGTAAAAATTCAATTTACTCAAATAACATTCAATAATACTTCAGATATATACAAAATCTAAAATAAATCTTTATAAAGGAGAAAAAAAATCTGTTTAATATTAACATGAATAAATTTCTACCCCCACAAGAGTTTTACATGCTATACTTTTAAATACATAAACATAATTAAATTATACACCGTAATAACTACATACAGTTTTTCCATGCAATAGTTTTATATTATATAAATGTATGATTGCTTATTATTATATTTGTAATATATTTGAGTTTTTTTCCCAACAATATTTAATATTCAATTGATTTTGGATGCCGATGTTATGACACTAATATAAAACACTAAAATGTATGTATATAGCATACCTTGATGTTTTATGTCTGATAATTATACATAGATATACATAGATATATATATATATATATATGATATTTTCACAATTTTATTATTTTTTCATATCATAGTTTTGAAAAATATAATATATAGAATTTTGAAAACAAATAATGAATTTAATAATAATTAAAATTAATGGAATATTAAATATTTCAAAACTTACCTAAATAAATATAAAAATATTATTTTTTAGATACATTCGTTTTATTTTAATTAATATAATATATATTAAAAAGTAAAAATCAATTTTAATAAAGAAAAAAAATATTCTAATATCAACATGAATAAACATTTATCGAATACGTACGTGGTCTCCATGCTATAGTTAAAACGCATAAATATAATTGAGTTTCATATAGTTACTCTATACGGGTTTTTCATGCTGTAGTTTTAAAGTTTAAAATTTACTGTTGAATACTACTATATGAGTATAATATATTTTTTTTTTATCAGCATGCATTATGTGAATTGAATTCAGATTATATGTTATAACAATGACACAAGCACAAACCACATTATCTAATATATCTTGAAATTATGTTTGATATATGTAATTATATGTGGTATTTAGTTTTGATGATCTTTTAAATATTTTTTTTAAAGATATAATTCGAAGATTCTTAGTTTAAAAAACAATATGAGATAAGTTATTCAAAAGGTTTACAATCGTTTTCAAAACTTTGTTGTAGATAATTATTGGTTTTTATTTCAAGTTTGCTATTATAAAATAATTCTAGAAAATTAATTCACAAAATATAATACCACTAATTCTAAAATGTATATAAGTTTCAGTATTTAACACTTAAAATCCATAAAAAAAATGATTTTCAAAAAGTTGAATATGATGATATTTACCAGTTTGATATATCTAAGTATCTAACTACATAAAAAGAGAAAAATATGTTTATGTATACATGTAGATAATTAAAATAAATATGTAGATTTATTTTGCACAGAGAAACATACATTTTAAAATTTTAAAGTTTGTTAATAAAATGACAAAAAATAACGCTTGTTACATTGTGACAAAAAATAACGCATGTTAAATATATAGTAACAAATGTGTAATAAGCGTTTTTTTGTCATCGTATAACAAGCGTTATTTTTTGTCGATGCATAGTAAATGTTATTTTTGTCGTCATATATCATGCATTTAATGTGTTGATTTTGTAATAATAAATATCAATAACTGTATTTTGTAAATTGACTAGTCATCATTAAAATAGTTCAAAATCTAGATGAAATGGTTGTTTTTCTTTGTAGCATTCTATTAAAATTTTAATACTCGAATCCAAATTTAAACATTGTTATAGTCGAAAAGAAAAAAACCAAATAGGCAAAACTATATTTAAATGAATGAAAGTTTAGTAGACGTTAGTTTTTGTCGTTGCATAATAACAAGCGTTAATTTTTGTCCATACATAACAAGCATTCATTTTTGTCAATGCATAACAAGCATTAATTTTATCGTCGTATAACACGCCTTTAATGTGCTAAGTAACACTTGAAATCCATACAAATTTTGATTTTTAAAAAGTTGGATATGATTATATGACCAGTTTGATATATCTATGTATTTAAGTACATAATAAGAGAAAAAGTATTTTTATATATACATGTAGATAATTAAAATAAATATGTAGATTTATTTTGCACACATATAAATATACATTTTAAAATTTTGAAGTTTGTTAATAAGATGACAAAAAAATAATGCATGTTACATGATGACAAAAAATAACGTATGTTAAATATATAGTAATAAACGTGTAATAAGCATTTTTTGTCATCGTATAACAAACGTTATTTTTTGTCGTCATATAACAGATATTTAATGTGTTGATTCTGTAATTTAAATATTAATAATTGTATTTTGTAAATTGATCAGTTATTACTAAAATAGTTCAAAATATAAATGAAATTGTTGTTTTTCTTTTAGTTTGTTGAAAATTTCCACTATTTGTAATATTTTATTGAAATTTTAATAGTTGGATTCAAATTTAAATATTATTATTAGAATCTTAATAGTCGAATAAAAAAAAGACAAAACTGTATCGATACATAACAAGCACTAATTTTTTATCATCGTATAACATGCGTTTAATATGTTAATTCTGCAATTTTGAATATTAATAATTATATTTTATAAATTTTTCGGTCATAAAATATAGATGAAATAATTGTTTTTTTCTTTTTTTCTTTTGGATTATTAGAAGTTTCTACGATTCGTAATATTTTTATTAAAATTTTAATAGTTGAATTTAAATCACTATTTGTAACATTTAGTTGAGTCCAAAAAAAAATCAATCAAATAAACAAAACTGTGTTTAAATGAATGAAAGCTTAATGAAAATGTAAAAAAATAAAAGACATTCATATATACTAAAGTCTAAACGAGTCAATGTTTTTTTTATTTACATTTTTGTATTATAATTATTAATACTCGATTCACAGCGCTGAACTAATAAGGAAAACAGAGCGAGCGATGAGAGCCGGTCGCAGTACAAGACAAAAAAAGTGAAAAAAGAATCTATAAACACTCGAATACATGTCACTACCACTAAAATGAGACATTTTAACTAGTTGCATAAACCGAACTTTTATTAAATAGGGCCCCAAATATGTTAAGACTAAAGCTTCAAAGTTAACACATGGAACACACGGCTATGAACTTAGTTCAATGACAGTTAGTCTGAATTCAAAGGAAAATCAAATATATGGACAGTGAAATATCTCTTTTTATAATTAGAAAAAAAAAGAACGAAATATCAATATTAGGTCTAACGTCTAAAAAGATTGAGTTTCGTTAATAATATTCTTTTTGAACTTTTTCTTTAATAATTTACATATACAAAGATACAGAACAATAATGTGTAAGTTGGCTTTTGCAGGTTGTGTTGTTAGTTTTTCCAAACTTCCTAAAGTAAGAATGTGTTCGTCTTCGTACTATGTTATTCTTTATAATTAAGAATGGACTAAAAAATGTAAAGATCTATGGTTGGAACGCAAAAACAAATTACATGTCATTGTTATTTATTGATTGGACAAAGAATCCAAGCAAAAATACTATCTGTCTGCACAAAAAGACAAACTCACTTTATGCAATTAGTTGGCAATTTTGTTGGTTTGATTTGCAATTTTACTCTTTTCTTTTCTCGGTTATAATCTCACGCACAAGTTTTTATAGTAACTAATGTCACTAACTTATAAAATTTAGCATATTTTTTTCAATTAAAACATATATTATATATAATAACTCGAGTTTTATTAAAAGTGCAGTACACAATCTATCGTTGTTTACAAAATGAAATCTTTGAACTATCGAATCAAAATGAAATGGTTCATTTTCTTTTACTTTTTCGGTTTATAATGTTCAAAGTACAAAAGGCATATACGAACTATACATATGACATATCTACGACTTTAGAAGAGATCTAGCTCATACGATCCAACTCAAAATAACAAAATTAGCTAAAACAAACACAATATGTATGTACACAATACAAAACAGGTACGATGTTCATATATATAATCTTTGACTAGTTTATTAAACCCGTAAGCTATATGAAGAGATAGATATATCATACAGTGCGGTATGTAATAAACATATATAACAAGAATTTGACTCAGATCAAATAAACAAACAACGGTAGCCCCTGGTTATCGCCGAAAGTTGCAATTATTTGAACTAAAAAAGTATTCAATAATAATTACAAAGACGTTTAGTTAGCCTTATGTCATTTCACTTAAAATATTACAATTGTGAAGATTAAAGCGTTATAAACAACAAAGTAAAAGTAAAAGATCTAAGAACAGAGTACTCAAGAACAGAGCATATTTTGTATAAAAGAATATCTTTTTTTTATTAATGTTTAAAAAGTACAACTCAAAAACTAAACACTTTTGTTCTTCATATCAATGTCATAATTCGACATTGGTATTTATAGTCTTGGCACACATTGTCAATCCTGTTTTCTATTAAATTAGCTACTCCTAATTACAATAGGATTTCTTTAAATCTATCTTATCCTAACCATATTAGATTTGAGATTTTAGACTTAAGATAATGTTGAAGTTTATCCAACACAAAGAAATTTTTCCTACGATACGAACAAGTTTTTTTGGTGATAATGTTATCGACTCATAAGGAATGTCGAACGTTCTCCTTACGCTGAAGCCTGAATTAAGTCTTAGATTACTAGAAAACATTTCATAGTTCTTTTTCCAATATTTTATTTTATTTTGCTGTCAACCAAATATTTTATTTAGTTATGTGATAAGTTATCACTCATAGTGATAACTCGTAAAATCATATGACATGGGCTTGACCAGTAGAAATATTAAATGATAAAACTGGTGACTTGAACTTGGAACTTGGAACATGGAATAAGAAGCAAAAACGTTCCGTAATGTACATAAATAAACAATGGAGTACGACCTAATTACGCGTACTTTTAGATGACCTACGTGTGAAAGACCAGAAGTGGAAAACATGGCACGTGTGATTGTACGTGTTGAGAACGTGGAACACTATTGTCTCTGACGATGCAAAATATATATATATATATACGACGCGGATCTGGACCATACGTATCTCCCATAATAATCTTATTTTTGAGGTTGTTAGGTCAAAAATGGACCAATAACATTATTCAATAAGTTGTTAGATTTGGCGGGGAATGAGATGATAAACCCGTCAGTGTACGTAGAGTTTGTTTGCTAACTAGTAATTAATCTAGTATTTTGTCACAAACACATTCATTTAGTAATCTAGACCCCAAATTATAAAATGTGTTACGAATTTTATACGATCGACCCAGCTTAACAGAATGGTACAAGGCATTTGGTTGTCCTATTCAACGCCCAAGTTCTACTCATTTTTGTTATGGCTTCTTGTAAACGAGCGTTTATTAAACTGGATATCGAATCAAACCTTGAAACTATATGAGTTAATTAAATCATGTGAGTATATTATAACATGTGTACGTATATAATATAAATCCCTGCTTTGCTCTCTCTATGTGGCTCCTCTTCTCGGAATTGGGTTTGTGTCTTCTATTGCTTGTTTAGTGTAGAGGTTCGATTTTTTTAGGCTGTCTTGACAGCTTTGATTTTTGACTACAAATTTTGGTTTCTTTGTTTTCGGAGGAGTTAGTAAGGCTGAGGTGTTTGTGATTCGCATAACTATATGCTAGGTGACATCAGGGAAAGATCTTGGTAGAGTGAGTGCATTTCTGTATCTTTAGTCAGTTAGTTATGTCTTTTAGTTGGTTGTTAGGCTTAGTTGGTTGAGCGTCGAAACTTAGACGTCGAAGACAGTCTTTGTTCGGACCTCTGTTTTTTTTCCTAGCTAAAAGCTTTCTGTTCGGGTTTCCAGTGAAACAACTTCTATCTTGCTTAGTACCAGTCTCAAACAATCTTTAAGATGTCTGCCCTGTTCAGCTTTCTTTGATCTAGATTTCCTTTGGGATTTTCAAATTCACTATCGCGTTTTTGTCACCACCATTTGCTTTATGGCAATAGAATCTACAAAAGATTGATTGCTTTTGCTTCCATATTTTTTATTATTTTTTGCTATGAGACCAATCTTCTAGGTCAATCAAATTATTAACACATATTTACCATTTAGCAAAAAAAAAAAAAAAAAAAAAAACATGTGTACGTACGTGTAACCAAATACTTTCTTTCAAATAACTCATAGCCCAAATTAAATCATCGAGATAGATTGTTGTGTTAACTGTTAAGTTATTGGAAAATTTGGTTTGAATAATGACCATAAACTTAATAACTAGACAATACTTATTTTAAAAACTTTCTTCTGATGCTATATTTTGTCCCGGAAGATTACGGAATGAATAAGCAACCGAAGACGACCAAGGAAAATGATATTTCAAACCGAAAAAGAACAAAAAACTAACTAATAAGATAATTTCTGTGACTCGAAAGTTCGAATCCACTATGTATATATAGTGATGTCATGTGCAATTCTTTTCAGTTCTTGTATTATACTCTTGGATAGGCTACACGTACTAGGTATTCTATTAAAATCCATTAATATAATAGTAGCCGACCCAAAAAAAAAGAATTTAATTAACCGACTTATCCTAAAGCTGAGATATTTGTAAACCTGCGAAATTCACTATTTTTTAACTAAAAATGATGACGATAGACGATAGTTGATGTTTATTTTGTTTAATTAATATTAAAATAAAATTGATGTTGTTTAATTAATAGACACTTCAACAGAATGTATACATACTTAGTTCAAGTTCGAGTAATCGGTAAATTCTCAATATTTTAGATCACACAATCACAAACCTACATTTTTGGAACAAAACTGTGTATATACATGTTTTTGTAGGTGCAATTAATTTTGACAATGTGTCTTTTAGGCTTTTATATATGAGATACTTTTGAGGAAATCGTATGTTTTTCTTCTGGTATAAACTGTATATATGTATGCTTTTATTCAGCACGCGAATGAGTTTGGTACAAGTGCCTCCTCGAGTCCTCGTGTGTGTTCAAACACGTAGAAATCTCTATACCACATTAATTATTGTATTTCTGTTCTTTGATAATGACTGTATATGTCTGAGTGTTACAATGGATTCGAGAATTAGTTTTATTTATTTTGTCAACATTTATTCATGTTTTTTAAACATATAACATTTGTCTATCATACAAATCTAATAACATCTGATATTTGAGTTGATTTTTGCAACTTACTTCCTATTGGTTAATTGAACATTCTGGTGACCACAAATATAATGATTTCAAATTTGATCACCACTCACCAGTGACCTACTTTCCGACCAACTTCATTGTATGGCTCTGCATAAGCCTTCGATGCACCAATTGGTAATAGACAGAATCATTAATCGACAAATAATTATCAAAAATAAAAATAAAATTCACATACCCGATTCTCGTAAGTTTCTTTTTCCATTTCGAGAGCGACACATGAGTGATAAGACTCGAGCTTAGACGACAAAATATTAGAACAACAAAAGAGTAGAACGACAAACTATTAACATCAGAACAGAAAAAAAAGAAATCATCAGAACAACTGTATAATCATATATTTTTTAAAAAGATGAAAATAAATATGATAAGGACATTATCGGCGGAACATAGAAGAAGTACGTAGGAGACAAACTCCGTGCAACTTGTCATTTGTTTTTATTCTCATAGCATTGAACTATTTTCAAGTTGGTACCTTCTTGAGGTTAATAGTTTTAGCAACTTTTGTTTTTCTTATAATATTTTTTCACAAAATTCGAGTTTATTAATTAAACAAATTCTAAATAGAATCTGTTAGACAGCTACGTTTTTAAAAATATGTAAAGAGTTTCGAAATTTTAAGATGGAAATACATTTTTGTTGTTGGTAACCTTTACTAACATGACTATTTAGAAAAAAACTGACAAAAAGACTAAATAAAACAAATAATTTTGTATATATACTTAACATACGTCATTATCAAATGATTTCGGACGATCATATCCAATCAGTTTGAAAATAAAAATTAAGTTGTTTTCACAACGATCTACTATGATGTTCTGTAGTAATTTACACTACAGAACTAGTATTTTTATAATCAAATATTTTTTTGTAAAACTGTTATTTTTCTGTAATTTTTTTAAACTAGTCATTGCCTTACACAATTTTCAAGCACTATGATAGTTTTTTAAAACTTTAACAATATTTTTTAACAAAAGAAATTTTATAAAATGCAATGTCGCCATTGACTAATACACAAAGTTTGTAAATAATAGTAATGGGCTGACCTCATGTAAGGCCCAGATCAGCAATCACACTGATGGCAATGGTGGGCTTCTTTTTTTCCTCCTCAAACAGATAATATATAAAGGAAATATATAATATATAAAAGGAATTTTTCCTTGCAAAATTAATAAAGTAAAGAAATATCACTAAGCTTCGGATATTCAACAGATAAAATTACTTCACTTTTCTTATTGATTACAAAAAAAAAGAATAGAAAAATCCCAACTGATACAAATATTTCTTCTAACCCAGTTACATGTAAAAGATTTGAAACGAATACAAAATATTTCTTCTAATCTTTTCTTATAAAAAAGATCCCTCAATAAAAAAGAATGAAAGAATAAAATCAATTTTTTCCCTATTTTCTTTATAAAAAAAAAAACCATTTCTCCCTTTCTCTAAAATCTCTAAATATATAAAATTTCTTTTAATTTTTTAATGTCTTAAAACGAAGAACTCCCTCCGATTCCGCCGATAGTCCAAGCCGAGATCGTGTAAAGCGGCTGATCCGACCACCGTAACGTGACTCCTCCGCCGCCTCTGCCGTCGCCGTCTTCATCGCTCATTTCAATATTGAAGAATCCCTCATTGCCAGATCCGTACATCCTGAGCAGCATCTTACTCTGCAAAACCTCTCTCTCCGAGACTCCTAAGCTCCGAAACCCTAATTGCTCCAGCATCCTCCTCCAATGGCGAAAACCCATGTGCCTCTCTTGCCGATGACTCCCTTCGCACGCCACAATGTTCCTGATCTCCCTCCCGAACAGCATCTCCTCGATTTTGACCCTGATCAAGCTATCCGTGGGCAGATTCGTGTGAATCGCGTCGAAAATCGCGGAATAGTACTTGAGCGAGTTACAGACTCGCGTCTCGAGCTGCATCGAGTTGTGCTCAGCTTCCTGTTCCGCGACAACGAGAGCGATCGGGTTCGTGCTTCTGATTAACCCCACGAAATCCCTAATCGTAGCTCCGGTTCCGTCGTACAGCGTCTTGTGCATCTGCAAAACGCAGTTTACAGCTACAGACTCGCCTTCCTTGACGTGAAGCATCCATAGCCTAACGTCTTCGAGTCTATCAACAACAGGATGAAACTCGAATTGAAGATTCATCGCCTCCGCGAATCCGTGGAGACGATCTCCCGTCTCGTTCAGCTCCAGCTTGGATTCTCCGATTCCGGTGATACGTACGTGGTGTGGTGGATTCGACCTCGAAGCTAAGCTCTGGAAGAAGCTAGGCCACTGTAACCCTTGCTTGATGTCGAAGTCGATGATGTGAACTCTCTCTTTCCCTTCGAATGCTCTGAGTAACATCTCGTTTGCTGTGAAATGGATGAACTTTGGAATCGGGGTCACTTGGTTCAAGAACCTCAACGCGTTCCCTGACTCGTCCTCGACCGTTCTCTCGAATTCACGAGGCGGTGCGATGTGGAAGACGTGAGGCCACATACGCGCGACTCGTAGGGACAAAGCTTCGATGTAGTAAGCTATGAGCCGAGTCATTGGGGTTCTTCCTCTAGGGGAAGCAAGATCACCGGTTCTCGCGATGAAATGGTTGATCGCAGCTATGTTCCTCGTTCTGATTGCTTCTAAACATCCGGTAAGCAAATTAACAAGCTCGAAGTCCCTCTGCAAATCGTTCCTGTGATTGTTGTTGTTGTTGATGATGTTCTCGCTGGTCCTTTCCTCTGCGCTGCCTCGGTGTGAGTAAGGGTTCCTTGAGCCATTGGTGGGTTCTGGTACTCTGTGGCTTAAGCTACGACTCTCTGATGATGCGCTTGTCGATGAACCAGAAGCTTCGTTGACCGGTGCAGGACGGCTACTCTCAGTGTCCTTATCGCCTAAGCCAGCTAATTCGGTAATTACCGAGTTAACCCAGATTGGATTACTCGGTAAAGGCTGAGAAATCACTTCGCTTGGAGCGAAACAAACCTTTTCCTCGTCATCACCTGAGCAAGTCAAGGAAAAAGGTAACGCTGGAGATGAACTCTGCGCTGTGAAATGCTCAAACCAGAAACTCCTGTTGTGATCATCTTCGGTTTCGCCTCTTTGCCTCTTCACTCTGCTCAAACAAGACTCGTCCTCCTTGTCTTCCTCCGCCAATCTCTTCAGTCTCTTCTTCCCTCTGTTGTTGCTGTTGTTGTTGTTGTTCCAAGAAAACCCTTCTCCGCTTCCTCTCGTTGTTGCCAAAGGTGGAAGCTTTATGCTCTGCTTAAGTGAACAGCCACCGGTCTTGCGCTCAATAGGTTTGTTGTTGTTGTTGTTGTTGCTGCTGCTGTTGTTGTCGAGTGAGATGCTTCTTCCAAGTGGTCGGCTCGAAGGTGTTTCCTTGCGGGAGAAGCTACTACTGTAGGGTAAGTCCAGTCTCTGTGTGTTCATGGGGAAATGTACTGCTACTGTCGCTGATGTTGCTGCTACTGCTTCACTCCTTAATCTTCGGGTCGGGGACAACAATGAAGAACTTGAACAACCTGCCAACATCCTCTACAATATCTACCCACCCCAAATATCTAAATTCCAAGTTTCTTGATTCTTAAAGAATGTGAGAGATGGTCTAAGTGTGTGTGTGTGTGTGTGTTTGCACAAACAACAGTTGATGAAAAAAATGGAATCCGATGAATAAAGAATAAAAATCAAAGCGGTGTTTTTTGTTTCCTCTGTTTTTTTTTTTTGTTATGAAATCAATGCGAGTCCTATATGAAGATAAAAAGAATGAATTTTTGTGAAATCAAAGTGAAAAAATGATGAATGAAATTGAATTCCCTCCCCAAAATGAAACGAATAAATCTATATTCAAATAAAGAATGAAAGAATCGAACTAATCTAAAACTTTCTCAAATCAATCTACCATAAAACAATCATCGGATTCCTCAATGTTTTTTTTCACAAACAAAATCTGATTTTAGATGATAATGACGACCAACGAATTCACATCATCATGAACAGACGATGCTGCTGAAGAAGAAGAAGATCTCTAAGTTGCTGGGCTCCATTGATGAACAGACTCGAAGGTTGTTGTAAACCCGGTTCGCCATTCCGATTTTCCATTCCGGTTTGCCAAAAAACCCAGATCAAGAAATTTCCTCAAAACATCCAGAAGAAACCCACAAAACCCAGATCAGAAAAATCACTCAAAACTCTCAAAGATTGTTCCTTTGTTCTTCTCACTCTCTCTGTCTCTCCCTCTCTCTGTTTCTCTCTCTCTCTCTCTCTCTCTCTCACTCACTCACTTTTGTTTCTCTCTCTACCTCTCTAAAGGTTATGGTACTATACAGCTTCTTCTACTAATACCATACTTCACCTACTTTTCTAGTTTGTTTTCTTCTTCGGACTTCGAGAATTGAAGTTGGCACTTTTCTTTTTACAGTAATTGTTTTTCTTTAGGGTTGGGCAGAGTGAGTGGTACACGAGGCAACCTGTATGTTTCTAAGCCGTTGGATCTCAAGAATCAAACGGTGAAAAATAGTTGGGGGTTTAGTGACCGTTTGTAAGTTGTCGGAGAAATATGACCGTTGAGAGGAAGAAGAGTGTTGGGTGTGTACGGACATCAATGAAGTCTGATTGGGAAAGCAATTAAAAAAAAAAAGACTTTTTATACTATACAACACCAAAAAAGACATTATTATTATGTTTTATTTTATTATTGTCAACATGACATTATTTTAATTTTATATGACACATTCCAGGTTGCAAAAAAATCATTTATACAAATGAACCAATGACTATTTTGGGTATTAAATCTACCTGTCATGAATATATGCTGTGTTACTTCTGTGAAATATATTTAATTTTCCTTCTTTTATGCTAGTAACATTATTTTTTTAAACACATAAAAAGCTAAAAAGTACATGCAAAAATCTTTCATCACACTACAAACCAGTACTAACTAATTCAGTCTGTTCAAATATGCAATAGTTTTTAAATCTACATTTTGTTAATCTATGTTTAAGCCTGTAATTAGATCATCTCCAAGAACAAAGCCTCTTGTTTGTTTATGAGGCCGAGTTCTTGCATTTTCATGCAACTTTGTTCTTCTCCACCAAAGTCTGTCTTGGGAAATGGATGGCTTCACGTGTTTAGTATATGACATGTAATTAACAATGGAGTTTCAGTAAATTAGTGAAAAAAAATACACAGTTTATGGTTCTAGTGGAACTCAAGAGGCAATGATGCTTACTTTCTGCCAAATGCTTATCACACAAAAAGAGATACTACATGCATAAACACTTGAGTTCCATTCTTTAACGGTCAAATCGAATATAGTCTTGAGTTTGTAATTAACATAACAAATCCAAGTTTATGTCAATTCTTAGTAATCTTCATTAAAAGGAGTCCACAAAGGTTCAAAACTAATGGGCTTTTTTGTTAAAGCCTTAATATCTATTCGACGTCGTTCTAGTAAATGACGGCTTCTCGTCTGAGTCGTCTCTCTTCTCTCGCCGGAGAATTGGAAAAGTAAAGAGAGAGAGAGAGAGAGAGATGAAGAACGAAGACGACGGAGAAATGGCGGAGGAGCAGAAGAAGAAGCCATGCCGGTTCTGGATTTGGGCTTTATCTTCCGTTTTTTTCCGATTGATTTTGATCTCCTTCCCGGGAAATCTCAACCTCTCTTCCCGTCCGGAGGTCTCCACTCCTCTCACCAGCATTCGCCGCCGTATCGCTTCTTTCTCACTATCCCTATCTCTCACCGTCACTCTACGATCGCGAATTAAACTTACATTTTCCCGTTTCCATGTGATTTCTCAGTTGCTGAAGGTTACTGGTTGAAGCAAGCATCGATGTCACCATATGCAGGTTTGATCTCATCACTCATTTCAGCTTTGACTCTCTGTAAATTTCGGATGTTTGGCTGTTGGAATCTGAAATTGTACTTGCGTTTGAGCAGGATCTATGTATCATGGCTCGCCGTTGCTTCTCTCGCTTCTCGGACCTCTCACTGTTCAGAGGTCAGTGTGTAGCTGTAATCGTTTCGATTTCAATGGTTGTGATTTGTGGAGCTTGAACTATGTAAAACATGAATCTTTTTTCAACTTGAGTTTAAATTGAATTCAATTTTTGGGTGTTGCAGGATTAAAGGGCAACCAAGTCACCTCTTGTGCAGGTACTTTCGATCTCTGTGATCTCTTGCTTCTCAGATTTGAACTAGCTTAAGATTTTAGGTAGAATTAGAATTTGAGTGTGGAATCAAGAGAAAAGAGATCATCTTTCAATACTATCTTCATAGAGAACTTTATAGTCATGTGTTCGACACCAACACTCTCTTGGATACAGCTTGGTTTTTGTTGTTGCAGATGTATTAACTGCTATGCTTCTTCGAGGTATCGGTCAGAAACTGCAGATGGCTTATGGATTGAATGCGAGGCTGCTTGGCTTTCTTAAGTCATCAAGAGATAAAGGTAAAACTAAGTCACTTGTTTGAATTCAAAGTTTCATCTATTGAATTCAAAGTTTCATCTATCTTTGTTTATACTCTTTTGAGGAAATTCAGATTTTTTTTTTCTGGCTCATTGATGTTAGAGCAGAGAGTAATCCTCTTCCTCTTTGAAGGTAAAGACTGATTTCTCTTTTTCGTTTTCTCCACAGGGATCCTACCTTGCGGTGACATTGCTGCTCTTGTGTACCTGTGGAATCCTTTCACGATCGTTTCTTGTGTGGGCTTATCAACTTCTCCAATCGAAAATCTTGCTGTCGTAGTGGCGCTTTATGGAGCAGTTAAACGTAAGAAGATAACGATACTTGCTTTTCTTTGATATTTTCACTAGTTTCTTGAAAAATGCGACAAGTTTTCGTTTTGTACCAATGCAGGACGAGTTCCTCTGGCTGCATTTGGCTTAGTCATGGCCACACATTTATCTCTTTATCCTGCGACCCTCACGATTCCAGTATGTGTCTTTCCCTGTTTTATATATTTTTTCACATTTCCCAAAGTGAACAGATTCTAATTTGCTCTTTGTGTATCTCCCACAGATAATCTTTCTATTGGGATATGGTTTAGATGCTCCTCCTATAAAACTGTTCCTTCAGACCAAAAGTGTAGAAAACCAGGACAGATCAACCTCTGATGTTTCCAAAACAGAGGCAAAGTTGAAACAGACTACACGCGTTCCCTTCTTATGGAAAACAGTCTTGCACTTCGTCTTCTGGGTACTTTTGTGGTCGCTATGTGTGTTGGTTTTATGTGGCTTATCACTGATTAAACATGGTGGGCTTGAGGAGATGTTCAAAAGGTAATCCTTACCTCTGAAAAAAACCGAAATCTATATGTTAATCTATAAGTTAGATTCCAACTCATATCATGTAAGCCTTTAGGTGTTCTGATAATTTTGTGTTTTTTTTGGTCTCTATCACAGTACATATGGTTTCATTCTCAGTATCGAAGATCTGTCGCCGAACATCGGAGTGTTTTGGTAAGCATAATGTCATATGATTCGGTGACGAATTAGACATTTCTAAACTGTATTGATCTTCCTCTCACTTTCAGGTACTTCTTTGCAGAAGTCTTTGACTTCTTCAGAAACTTCTTCCTGATAGTTTTCCACGTAAATATTCTGTTTATGTTACTGCCCTTAGCCATACGGTTGAAGCATAGGCCTTGCTTCCTGGCTTTCATATACTTAACGATCTCATCGATTCTTAAATCTTACCCTTCAGTAAGTACTTGAACTCAATGTGAACCATATATTTGATTTTCCTGAAGATTTCGTATTCATAGAATGTTAAAAATGCGTTCTTCCGTTTCGACTTGACCTCTTTGCAGGTTGGAGATTCGGCTTTATACTTGAGTTTATGGGCATTGTTTGTCAATGAGTTAGTAGGTAAAAGCAAATACTTCACATTCTCTTTTGCAATGTTTAAGCCTGTATATAACTAAAGTATGCTTTTGTTTCGTATGTTTAGATATGAAGTTCTCTTTCTTCCTCTTCTGTGGATATCTCGGGATCTCTCTCCTCAGCCCTGTGATGCACAACCTCTGGATCTGGCGGGTAATTGTTTTCAACTCAATTCGTAAATCAATTTGTCACAAAAATTTCTTGGTGATCATAAACTTAGAACAACCTTATTTTGAATTTTCATTTCAGGGTACCGGAAACGCCAATTTCTACTTCGGAAACGCTATTGGCTACGCGTGCTTCCAGGTAAAACATCACCCTGAATCCAGTTTCCAACTTCATTATTCTTGGAGTTTGGATTCATGGAGTGCACAATTTGATATCAACCAGAGGATGATGAGATTATCAGTCTTTTATCAAAGGATACTTAAAGGTTTACGGGTTTGTTACAGATCGTTTTCGTGGTGGAGAGCGTAAGTGCAATGCTGAACCATGACCGGGCGTTGAAGAGATGTAACTCGAAGAACAGTCGAGAAGTCAAGAACTAAGCCATTTGCAGTTGCAGGGTCAATGCATCACACCACACGTGAAGAAAAAGAGTTTTGGTCTTTAGCTTAGTGATGCGTTTAGGTCGACCGCAAACGCTTAACGCTGGCCACATGTGTTTGTGTGTCGCTTTGGGTTTTTGGAATACAAATGACAAATCTCCTGTGCCTTGCGATTAAAGGAACATTTAATTTGCGCTTTGTACCGAGACAACAAGTTGAGTAGTGTCGGTCTAACTGATTAATCTGAATCATTCATTTATTAAAAAAAAGTAAAAACTAAATATAGTTTTGATTATATTTTTAGAATAAAAGTATGTAGACCGGACAAAACTCCACTTCACTTGTGTTGCAAAAGAGAAATGCAAATTTAAAAGGTCAAAGTGTATTAATATTTGTAAAATTTCCAGTGATTACACTGGTTTCTTTCTGTTTCATTTTTTCCCTCTGTTATAAAAATTAGGGAAAACTTTAAGAAATAAGAGGCTTTATCCATAATTTTCTCAAATCATCGTGGAGCTTATTCACATGCTCTCTCGATTTGTTCAAAACCTTAGCTTATAAGTATATCTATAAAATATACGTAAATGTGTTTGCTTATTTTTCTTTTATTTTTAGTAATATATTTCCCTTACAAAAAAAAAAAAAGTTATATAGGTCAATCTGATCATTCTGATGTCAGTATCCTATGTTGAGCTTTTTGATCATCACTCTCTTGCATCTTAACTAAACTTTCTATCTTTCAATTTTCTTATATTATCCTTTTCTTTTATTTTTAGTAATATATTTCCCTTACAAAAAAAAAAAGTTATATAGGTCAATCTGATCATTCTGATGTCAGTATTCTATGTTGAGCTTTTTGATCATCACTCTCTTGCATCTTAACTAAACTTTCTATCTTTCAATTTTCTTATATTATCCTAAAGAATGTGTTAGAGCTTTTCAAGTCCATTTCAAATTCTCTTATTAGTATGATATTGTTCGTTTTGGGCTTAAGTGGCAAAGCTCGCACGGATTTGTCTTTGGGCTCCTCCCAAAAAGTCTCATACTAATCAGAGTTTGACATTACTTATATATTAGACCATTATTGTCTACTATTCCAATGTGAGACTTGGATTAATATCCCAATAATCCTCTTCAAGCCAAGGACCATACACGCCCTTTGCTTCCAACATTCTGTGAAACTTGGCACTCATCTTGTACCATCTTGTACTGAAGCACCCTTCTGTGAAATTTGGCACTCATCTTGTACCATCTTGTACTGAAGCACCATTAATCGCAAGATCACCTTGAAGACTCTCCTACAACGAACAAGCAGGTCCAACCTACTTTCCGAGGTCCACCTTTTTTTGAACCTTGGCTTTGATACCAATTGTTGGGCTTTTCAAGCCCATGTCCAACTCTCTTATTAGTATGATATTATCCGTTTTGGACTTAAGTGGCAAAGTCCGCACGGATTTGTCTTTGGGCTCCTCCCAAAAGACCTCATACTAATCAGAGTTGGACATTACTTATATATTAGACCATTATTGTCTAATAGGGGTGGGCAAAATATCCGTTGTATCCGCTTCGAACCGATATTTGCTTCGATCCGATTCGAAAAATCCGGATATTCGTAAAGCTTCGGAGCAAAGCAAATAGCAAAATGTAGTATCCGTATAAAACGGAGCAAATCACAAATATGTTTTTAGATAACGCCGGATATCCGATCCGATCTGTATCTTTATAAATTTATTATATATTATCATGTATATATCAATTATATTATAAATTTTTATTAATATATTCTCAATTTTCTTCCTAAATTTTCAATTGTTCTTTTGATTATATAAAATAAATGACTAAATAACTAACTATAAAAAATAAATAATATGTTTAAACTTAAAATATGTTAATAAATAATATTTTATTTTATATCAGTAAATAAATATCAACAAAAGTTTTTTAGAAAAGTTTAATATTAAAGTTTCAAATAGTTAATATTATTTTTAAATATAAAATATCATTTTTCCTCATCTTAATTTTGTAGGTTTATTTTTTATATATTTTTTTATAAAATAAAATATTTTCTTTTAGTTATTTTCACTTAATAGTTTATATGAATTTTTTTTTATATTAAAAATTGATGTACTTTCAGTTTTGTGTATATTAAACGGATCAAGCTAAATATTCGTAAATATCTGCAAATATCCGCAAATACTTGTAAATTTTTCGGATATCGGAAAATCCAGATATCCGTATATTTCTAGAGCAAATCAAATCATAAAATTAAATATCCGTTAAAAACGAAGCAAACCACAAATACTAAAAAATTCCCAGATATCCGATCCGTGTCCACCCTTATTGTCTAATCTTCCGATGTGTGACTTGAATTGATATCCCAAAAGAGTGATCTCTACTAAACATGGGTGATAATTTTTCTTCAATATCATTCTAAAATGGTGAGCTGAATTGGCGTGTTAGCATATCATTCTTGCGCAAAAACCATGCTAAATTTCTCTACATCATCTTAATTGTATTAGATGATTTTCCTTTTCTAAAAGGTTAGTTTTATGTAAAATTTCTCAGCTTCACTTCATTATTTATAGTTACATATATTGGTTATCAAAAACAAAAAATAATAAATTAGCTAGGTATTTCATCCAATGAAAATAATTAGTATGATAACAGATAACTTCCTCTTTATTCATATGTGAATATCTAATATTTTCTTACATGTTTATCATAATCACGAAAAGAAGACATTTTCATTTTAGTATCAACAAATACAAATTATCATTAGTTAACTAGAAAATAACGACGACCGGAATGGATTCCTGTAAGAAACAAAAAAAACGAGAGAGCATCACGTGGGCCCACTTTCCGTGTTACAACGCTGCCAATTAGTCTCTGCCACGTAGAAAAACACGTAGGACCCAAGCAACAAGCATACCTCTCATATACAGTAGTTTTATATTGGAACCAATAATTAGTACAGTAGTTTAATTTCTCCTGTTTATTCTTTTTAAATTAGAAGACAAAATCCTAAACACTATAATAATTTTTAATTAAAATATTGCTCCATGGTGTTAACCAGTCTCCTCTAAAACTAAAATTGATCTTAAGAACATCTGCATTGGTTGGTGATGAATTTTTTATGTAATATAATTTTATCATTGTAAGTAAAATTTAGTCTAATAATTAAATTTTAATTTATAAAAAAGTAAATCAATTACGGAAAAACATATGATTTGAGAATCTTTCATGACTCTTTTATAATCTCTCAAATGAGAGACTCATCTCATTTTTTCTTTTTCTAAAAAAAAATTTTAATAATGAAATTTTCATTAAGAGACTTCCAGTACAGATAGTCTAAATTTTTAGGTTTGTTTTAATCACCCGTGTCAATCTAAACCTCTTTTAACCCCATGATTAATGCAATAGAAAACACTTTTTTCTCAGTGACACTTAAATGCAAAATCTAATCATTCCAGTGTAATGAAAATTAATAATGGAGAGTTTTCACAGTGACCTACCTAGTTATTTTGTAGAACTGCCTGATTTGTTTATTCAGAATCCTCCAGCCCGTGGCTCAATGGCTATTAACCAAAGGGGTCCCAAGAGAAGTCAGATTTTGTGTACCTAAAGCTAAAAATCAAAGACAGAAATTTTATTATGATCTGTTCAGGTTATAATCTGAATATGCAAGATAGCAAGATACAGTGGTTATAAGGATTTAAGTGCTGATGTATGCATTATTGCATTTAGATCTTGATTTTGACAACTCTTTAACAAAACCAAACAAAACCTTGAGTTTGACAAGTGAGTCTTAAAACTATTATGAAGATAATGATTTATGATAAAACACTTGAAAACAAGATCTAAACAAGAGATTCTAAGCATGAATGTGAACAAACTCAAGAAAACTTTTATTTGTGAGTTTTTTTTTTTTTGCTACTATGATGTCAAAGATTGCATTAGATACTGGAATATTTAGCATAGATATGGAAAGAGGAACAAAATAAAAAATTATGAAGTCAATAATGTAAAAGCTGGAACATTGTTTTGTGTGTGGTTAACAATCTAAGTTTCAACTTCAACTAATATTCAGTTATTTTATATCAGAAAGTGACGCTGGAAGTTTGCCTAATGTTAAGTCTGGTTTTTAATGCCATAATTAATGGTCAATGAGACACAATAAACAATAAATAGAGGAACCTTCATGTCATGGTTACTGAGTTTTAACTTCTTCTCCTTTAAATAGTTTCTATACATAGATGTGGAATTTTTAATTAGAGTTATTCCATTCTGCAACTACTTTAAAAGTGCATTATTTATTAATATCTGATAACAGAGATGTGTAAGGACTTGCCTCTCTCTATTTAAGGAGTTATCATATGGTTTAGTTGACAAAACATGCCAGCAGTTTAGCTTTCTCTTCTCTTCTCTTCTTTGTCTTTTTCCTCTGCACGTTTTCAGTTTTTTTTTTTTCTGTCAAGTTACACAAACACAGAACAAGTCAGAGATAAACAGACTCAAGAACATCAGAACAAAACATATTACAATCCTCTTACAGTGATGTTGTGGGCATTGTGCATTTGGGCTTCTCTGGTTTTGATAACCATCACAACTTGGGTTTACAAATGGAGGAACCCTAAATGCAGAGGGAAGCTTCCACCAGGTTCCATGGGCTTGCCACTTCTAGGCGAGACGATTCATTTCTTCAAACCTAACACAACTTCAGACATTCCACAATTTATCAAAGAAAGGGTCAAGAAGTGAGTGTTTTCTTATTTCTTGCAGAGTTGTATTGTTGTATAACAAAAGTTCAAATCCTTTAATCAATTCTAAATTACTTGTGTTGCAGGTATGGGCCAATCTTCAAGACCAACCTTGTGGGGAGACCAGTTATTGTGTCGACAGACTCTGATTTGAGTTATTTTGTGTTTCAACAAGAAGGCCGTTGTTTCCAGAGTTGGTATCCTGACACTTTCACTGAGATCTTTGGAAAACAGAACGTGGGATCATTACATGGGTTCATGTATAAGTACCTCAAGCACATGGTCTTGAATCTCTTTGGCCATGAAAGTCTCAAGAAGATGCTTCCTGAAATTGAACAAAGTGCATGCAAAAAGTTAGAGCTCTGGTCAAATCAAGATTCGGTCGAACTAAAAGATTCAACGGCTAGCGTAAGTTTCAAGAACATACTTTCATCGATCCACTTTTGTTTAAAACATTCCCCAGCTATCACTTTCTTTTTATTTTATCAGTTAATCTTTGATCTCACCGCCAAGAAGTTGATCAGCCATGATCCAGAGAAGTCCTCAGAGAATCTAAGGGAGAACTTTGTTGCCTTCATCCGCGGTTTGATCTCTTTCCCTTTTAACATCCCAGGGACAGCTTATCACAAGTGCTTAAAGGTTATTACTTACTTCATGTCTCTTGTAAAGCAGTGACTCTCTTACATATATAGTAGTACTCATATGCTTTTTTTTGCAGGGGAGAGAAAGAGCTATGAAGATGTTGAGGAATATGCTTCAAGAGAGACGTGAGAAGCCAAGAGAGAATCCAAGTGATTTCTTCGATTATGTCATTGAAGAGCTTAAGAAAGAAGGAACAATCCTGACAGAAGAAATTGCACTAGACCTGATGTTTGTCTTGCTTTTTGCAAGCTTCGAAACAACTTCTCTCGCTTTAACTTTAGCCATCAAGTTCCTCTCAGACGACCCTTCAGTCCTAAAACGTTTAACGGTCAGTATAACCAAAAAAAGAAAGAAGAAAAACTCATTTATGATCATTACTAAAAGTTTTCATCATTAACAGGAAGAGCATGAGGCAGTCTTGAGAAACCGTGAAGATGCTGAATCTGGGCTTACATGGAAAGAATACAAATCAATGACTTACACATTTCAGGTAGATTACAATTTACAACAGTTTCATTAAGTACTGTATGTTAATGACGCATGTTCTCATCTAACTAAGTGTTAATGCAGTTCATAAACGAAACAGCGAGACTAGCGAATATAGTTCCCGCAATATTCAGAAAAGCCTTGAGAGATATCCAGTATAAAAGTATGATTACTAAACCAAGTTACCAAGAAACAAAACGTTATTATACTTTAGATATTAATTCCACTTTTTTTTAATATACTTATCAATTAACGACTTTTGTAAATGGTACTGCAGATTATGCCATTCCAGCAGGTTGGGCGGTGATGGTTTGTCCTCCAGCTGTACATTTGAATCCAGACAAGTATGAAGATCCTCTTGTCTTCAATCCATCTAGATGGGAAGTGAGTTCATCAAATCTTGTAGATAACTTTTACTCCAAGTAACCTGTAAATGTTTTGAAGAAACAAAAGTAACCTAATTGATGAAACACAGGGATCAGAATCTACCAATGCATCGAAGAATTTCTTGGCGTTTGGCGGCGGAATGAGATTCTGTGTTGGAACTGACTTCACCAAAGTTCAAATGGCAGTTTTCCTTCATAGCTTAGTCACAAAATACAGGTTCAAGAAACTTTTACATAAGTTACAAGTTTTTATTTTAAAAGAGAGAATAATTTCTTATTGACTTTGTAATTTTTTTTTCCTTGGATTTGATCAGATGGGAGGAAATCAGTGGAGGAAACATAATCCGAACTCCTGGATTGCAATTTCCAAATGGGTATCATGTTAGACTCAAGAAGAAAGAATTTTAGAGAAAGTTAGAAGAAAACTGATGAACACATATATTTTTGATTTGTTTAATGACAATGTAAAAGAAAACCAGAGAATGTAATATGTAATATACTTATATATATCAAATCAAGTAGCTTCAATCCAATAACACAATTTATTTAGTTTGAGAGTTGAGGAAGTATGATATTCAAATGTAATACACTCTTTTGTTTTTTTCCCTCTTTTTTTTTTTTTTTACACAAGACGAATTTAGTAATGTACATGTAAGTTGTAAAAAAAGACTACAGAGATCAAAGGCAAAAGGAACAAAGAGATTATATAGTTACAAGAACACATATACGAACTTTTATAGTATGATGATGATGATGATGATGATGATGATGATGATGATGATCAGCATGTCCATTTAGAAGTAGGGAAACAGCTGAGGTAATGACACCATTTGCAATGTTTGTTCCCATTCTCTCCTTTGAAAAGCATCACTAGTCCAACAGCTAAACCAACCACAAGCACAGCCGCTGCGACTACGAACAGCACGTACTGGTACATGCTATACTTGCGTTTGGTACGTGAAGTGTTGGTCCGGGGACTTTCCCAACCGTACTGCGGTCGAACAAGAAGAACAAACCCGAGGCAGAATCCAGTTAAGAACCCTCCGATGTGCGCGAAATTGTCAACCCGAGGAAGCATGCCTAGTGCTAAGTTGATTGCAATGATGAATAGAAGTGTGACCAAAGCGGCTGCCTGCAAAACAGAGAAGCAAAGCCAAAAAGGTAATCCTCATTGCATTTGCCTACCACTAGTACAATGCTACATTTTCGGTTAAGACAGGTTTAGCGGAGAGGACAAGACGTATACCTTGTTGGCATAGATTGTCCAATTGGTGAGAAGTTCAGATAGCATTGCGCCAAGAAGCCCAAAGAGAGCACCAGAGGCACCAACAGAGATGCTTTCTTGAAGGAAAAGAGACGAGAGGATGCTTCCACCGAGACCAGATATTAAGTAGATAAGCCCAACTCTTACTGCACAAAGATCAAAACGTTTTAAACAAAAAAGTCTAAAACTTTGATGGGAGAAAAAGAGTGTTTGTACTTACTGAAGCCAAATTGCTGCTCAAGGCGGATACCGATGAAGATGAGACTCAACATATTGGTAAGAAGATGGATGATACCGGCGTGTAGCCACATACAAGAGAGAAGTCTCCATCCTTGATGCTCATGTACTACTTTCCTCCATTCTAAAGCTCCCATTTTCTCCAACCTGAAACAAGAATCCGAGTAAAAACCGAATCAAACCCCACCACACCACCAGAATCATTAACAGAGCAGTTTCAGATGAGTTAGCTTCACAGTCCTAAGATCCACAAGTTGCTTGCTCTAAATAGAACAGAGAAGTCTTCTTCATATTAACAAATCCTAGCTACGCTAAATGCATAATAAAGGTAGAAAAAATGTAAACTTTGAGAAACCCACAAGTTTGAGCTCATTATCCAAAGCATTAACAGACAGACATTAGAGATCAAATTATATTTTTTTTTGGCGAATTCGGACAAAAAATTGAGACTTTTGAGGTACCCGGAAGATGAATTTGAGTAAATTGGATCAATTCTGGTATCGAGCTTCAATTGCAAATTTGCATTGAAGTAGCAGTATGAACTAAATTCTTAATTACTGAAGAAAATTGGAAACTTTGAGAAACCCTCACAAGCTTGAGCTCAAATTGAATTGCGAATTAGGAGAAAAATTGATACTTTTGAGGTACCCAGAAGATTAAAGTTGAATTCGGATTAAAAATGATTCACGAAATCTTGGAATCTGGAGGTTTAAGTAGAACTCACGTTGAAGAAGATGGGCCAAAGAGAGGATTCTCTTTAAGTGGCTGAAACGAGAATCTTCCGAGAAATCTAGCGACGCAAGCTTTGTTGGGTCCAGTGATTTTCTTAGGACAATCATTAACGAACATAACGGCGACGAACACGGCGAGATTCGCCACTACAATCGCCGGAATCAGCCACGAAGTCCAATGAGTTTCGCCGGAAGTCTCATCGTAGAAATAGTTGTTGTTGTTGTTGTTATTCTTCTTCCCTCCTCTCTCCACATCTCTATTCGCCATTACCCTGTTTCTCTCTCTCTCTCTCTCTCTCTCTCTCTCTCTCTCTCCTCAAAATTTCAGGATCTAGCTTCGATTTGGTTATATAAATCGATATGTCTCGAAACTTGGATTAACGGATCAAATACGAAATCGGGAGAAGTAGCTTCGAAGAAAGAAAGGAGGATGAATTAGAGGAACAAGAGATTGAGACAGAGCATCAGTAATCTAGAGAGAATTAACGCAAAAGTTGTAACATTTCTTTTAATAATTTAAAGTAAAAAAGAAAAAGCGTTTCTTGGGTCTCTACGAATTCAACCGTTGAACTGATATTTATTTTTCTCAGTCTATTTAAAAACTGTTTTAAGTGTAAAAGAGTTATTATTATTAGTCTATGTCTCTCTCAATCTATATTTGTAAAATAAAGTAAGAAATAGAGCTTTGGTGGTGTGTCAATGGCGAGTTAGGCGGTGGTGCCAGCTCCTCTCCAAGGTTTTGCCGTTTCTTAGAAAGTAAAAGCAAGCAATCAGTGAGCACTTCGGTTTTTGGTTTGGTTTCGGTTCGGTTTCTTCGGTTTTATGGTTTATCAATTTTATAAAAATTCAAACCATATAAAAGTTATATATATTTTGGTTTGGTATAGTTTGATTTTTTACGGTTCAGTTTGATATGGTTTGGTTTCAATTTTTTTAAAATTATACTATTACAAAAAATTTTGATTCAAACTAATGGAAATAATAATAATAATTGCTATAAGTGAAAAAAAAAAGTTCAAAAAATAGAATCTAAATCATAACAAATTCATCAATAAGAACATATTTTAAAACAGAGAAACAAACAAATTGTTAAATCTTTCATAATCAATAATTATATAACAATAAACAAATCTAGATTAAAATTTAATACCTATAACCTTGAAACTAGAACTAGAAGACTTGAATGTGAAGAGAAAAGAATTAATCACGTTTTTTATTGAAAAATTAAAGTTTAATTTATTATATATATATATATTTTATATATAAATATTATATTTTAAATTTATGAGTTAAGTTAATCATATAATATATAAAATTTGATGGCATAGTGCATTGAAGGCGTCCACATGAGATTTAAAAACTCGATATGATTGGTCCACATCAGCATATTCGTTAAATAAAAAAATATTAAGTATGATTAGGATGGAAAAACTTGGAAACTATAAGCCCAATAATAAAATATATACCTAAACTAAATTAAGAAACTAGAAAAATACAAATAATGTAAAATTTAGTTTAAAAACCGAAAAAACATTTTGATTTGATGGTTTTTAACCAAACCAAACCTAAACCAAAATTATAAAAAATTGATAACCAAACAGATTTTTAGATTTAACCATAACCAAACTATATCACTTTTTTCGGTTCGATATGATTTGGTTTTTTCGGTTATAGTTTTTATGCCCACCCCTACAAGCAACTCAGACCTGAGACACAAACGTTAAAAAAGAAACAAATAAAAGAAGATAAAAGTTGTATAATATAGTAATGGTTTGTTATAATTACAGTATTATCTGTATATACTAGTATCTGAAACAAAAAAAAATGTGTTGCCACTTGCCACATGTATAAAAATCATTCTTTTCTTTATGGTCATTGTGCCCAATAGTGTGTGTCACATATGAGATGAGTGGAGTAATAATTTCGTTGAAGTTACTAATGTAGTAATGTTCTTAACCTATCAAAAATATGCTCTAAACCTATTTTTTAACCGAATTAATCCAAGGTGCATGCATGCATTAAAAATTTGGTTTCATCATCAAACTCTATATATCCCTAACCATATAGAAAAATGCCAGTATAAGCCATTTTACGAGACTCATAGCTAGAGTTGTCCGCCGAAACAATAAAATCTATAAACTACAAAGAGAAGTCTCTAGCCAAAAAAAGAAGAAGAAAGTCTCTAGCCCGAATGCAATGTTCCAACAATCAAGAATATGGTGAAAATAAAACTGTTTTAGTTTGTTTTCAAAAGTTAGAAAGAGATTTGATTTTTATAAAAGAGTTGAACATGACTGTACAAAGTGGCAGCAGCGTAATCCTCATAAAACAAAAAAAAAACATAGTTATAGGAAAACATTAGAGAGCAAACCCTAAACACTTGAAGATTCTTTTAACATTTTTCTTGATTGACTAGAGACTTTTCTTTACATAAACTCTGTAAAAGTTTTTTTTTGTTTTTAAACAATAACTCTCTAAGAAAGTTTATTTGTTACCGGATTAAAGACATTGAAAGCCCACGAACAAAAAAAACCATTTCAATCCAAGTTGCTTCTAGTAGGTCTCACAAAGATCACAAAGATATTCGGAAACCACATATCCAACCAAACCATTTCTTAATCATTGTATACAACTTGGTTCTTGTACATGTGCCCTATATGTATGGATCATTACGAGAAATAAATAGGTAAGGTCCACGTGATTTCAAATCAGTAAGAAAAAGACATGTCAGTGAGATAAGGCAGACCATCTCCAATATTTTTTAACAAATGATAAAATGAAAATATTTTTATTTACAAAATATGTTTTCAAAATTTAATACTATGTTTTTAAACACTAAAAAAACCTCTTATCCTTAATTAATATACTCATAATCATGACAAATAACTTAGGCTACAACATTTCCAAACTTCGAATAAACTTTGCATCCAATATAAACTAAATACTTTAGGAATTAAACCCCAAATCTAATAATACTGAAATCTATAAACCATTAAACCACTTGACCAAAAACTTGCACCATGCATTCTTCTATAAACATATCAATCTGACGATACTTTTAATAAAAAGAAAACTAACTTAGGAAACTGATATTTTTCTAACGGTCAATTATTTTAAGATTCAACCACAACATCCCGCTAAAAAACTTAAACATCAACTAGACTAAACATTTTGAAACTAAAATCTAAGTTTTGCATAGAAAAGTTGTTAAATAATTTCAAATCAAAGATATATCGTAAAGAAACGAATGGAGGTAGGTCGTTGTTGTTGATTTGTGAGGACCACCAAATTGTTCGCATATTTGTGTTTTTCTGATGAAATTATATGAGCCTATACAGTACTATATACTGTATATCTATTTACACATGACTTTCAACGTTTAAATGAAAATTAAAATAAGATTTTTTTTAAAAAAAACTTAAATAGTTTAGCTGTATTTAATTTCGGTGTTAAAAACAACAAATGTGTGATGTATCTGTTCATAACGTACACACATTGACACATATATATATATATATATATGTATACATATTTATACGATCAAGGTTGGTTTTTAGGTTTCTCTATATAAAATGACAGCAAGTGTGAATGCTAAACCACTTTCTCTTACCCAAAATACATTTGTTAATGATATCTTCCTCTACTTTTTTAACCAATCACAACAATGGAGAACCATCTTCAAGATCCCTTAATCACTTCCACTAAACCAAGCTTAATCAAAGAAGAAGAACGATTTGACGAAGAAACAGTGAGTTTGCAAGCGGAGAAGATCTTGTACAGCGTGGCCTTCCCTATGGTTCTCAAATCCGCCTTGGAACTTGGTGTCATCGACACAATCGCAGCCGTAGATGAGGGTGTGTGGCTATCGTCTTCTGAGATTGCACTTCGTCTCCCAACCAAACCCACCAACCCGGAGGCACCGGTTTTATTGGACCGGATGCTGGTTTTACTAGCTAGCTACTCGATCTTAAAGTACCGTATTGTTAAATCCGGAGAAAACGGTCAAACCGAGAGGACATATGCTGCTGAACCGGTTTGCATGTTTTTCTTGAACCGTGGAGATGGCTCGGGTTCTCTCGCATCTTTGTTCATGGTAGCCCTAAGCGATGTCTATTTCAAGACTTGGTACATATTTACTATTTTATTATTAAGAAACAAGTCAAATAATAATACAATACTATTATAAACAATTGATTATTAATTTTGTGACAGGACACATCTCAAAGATGTGATATTAGAAGGAAAAGATGCATTCATTACTGCTCATGGCATGAGATTATTCGAATACACTGGTTTGAACGAACGATTCGGTGAGATGTTTAACCGGGGAATGTCGGAAGCTTCCATGTTGACCATGAAGAAGGTTTTAGAAGTTTACAAAGGATTCGAAGATGTAAACACTTTAGTGGACGTGGGAGGAGGAATTGGAACCGTTATAAGTCTAATAACTTCTAAGTATCCTCATATTAAAGGCATCAATTTCGACCTACCCTCTGTTTTAGTCCACGCTCCTTTTTATCTAGGTATAACACTAAGAGATAAAATTTACATATATTGTATTTTGAAGTGCTGGTTTTGATAAACATCTCTTAAAACTGTTATACATATATATAGGAGTGGAGCATGTTTCAGGAGATATGTTTAGAGAAATTCCAAAAGGAGATGCCATCTTCATGAAAGTAAGTTCAATATAACACTTGATTACATTTTGGAATTTTTTAAAAACAAATACTGACAGTTAATTTCATGGTCAAACATATATTGACTACGAAATCAAATGGATAAATTAATGACAGTGGATACTACATGACTGGACCGATGAAGATTGTGTAAAAATTCTAAAAAATTGTTGGAAAAGTCTTTCCCAAAGAGGAAAGGTGATAATAGTCGACATGATTACCCCGGTAAAAACAAAGATTAACGACGTTTCTTCTAACATTGTGTTTGCCATGGACATGTTTATGTTAACACAATGCTCCGGTGGTAAAGAGAGGTCTTTCTCCCATATCGAGACTCTAGCCTCTGATTCAGGTTTTCTTCGTTGTGAAATCATATCTTATGCCTATTCATATTGTGTTATTGAACTCCACAAATAGATTTATATATTTACCAAAACATTAGTTTTGTGCATATTGTGTTTTATGGTTTTTTTGTTTGTTTGTTTAATGTGTGTAATATGGTTTATGTATCGGGTTGTTTTTCTTTTTCAAGATCGTGTATTAGTTATCTTGTTCTTCTAGACGGCCGTCTAGTGGCTTGGGTGATATATATCCATCACAATTTAGGCATGATCAGGTTAATCAATCGTGTATTCGTATATAGACGCTTAAGCCAATTAATTTTCGCCTAGGCATCCGCCTAGCCCAATGTGTGTTTTTTTTATAAAAAAAAAATTAAGTGAAAGGAGAGGATCATCTCTAATATAATATTGCATTTTTTTTATCACAAAATACAATAACTGTAAAATTTAATTGAAATGATAAATTACTACTTTTTTGACTTTTCTGGCGCATTTGAAAATCCCGCAATAATCTTATCTTTCAAAAAATGCAAATAATGACCGCCAATGAAGTCAACAAATATATAGCAGATGTCAATAAATGGATCCAAAACACGACTACCCCACAACGAAGGAGTGGCCTCTCCTCCCCTTCGCTGCGATTGTGGCCACCCCTCAGTTGTATTAAATGTAATTATGATGCTGTTTTTAACCCTCAAACCTCATATTCTTCTGCCGGCTGAATTATCCGGGACAGTTATGAAAACAATAAATATTGGGGAGTTACAACTCTGGAATCTACAAATTCGTGCCTTGAAGCTGAAGCAAAATCCTTACTTCTTGCTATCCAACACTCTTGAGTGATGGGTTTTGACTATATTATATTTAAGGGAGACTGTCTCCGTTTAACAAATTTACTAGGACACAATGACGAAGACATAAGCATAGTTAATATAGTCGACGAGATCAGATTTTGGTTACTAAAATTCCAATCTATTCAAATTATTCATGTTAAAAGAGATTGTAATAATGTAGCTCATAGTTTAGCAAAACATGACTTATATACATGGTCTTTTCATTTCTGGAACTGGTTTTCCTCCTTTCTGGTTAACCGACTCTTTGTATCAAAATTACATCAATTCTGTATGTATGAATAAATATTTGCAGTTAAAAAAAAAGTAAATTTTAGTTGAATTTCTTTTTAATGTATTATGTCATTTTCATTTCAAAATATTCCATTTCAAAGGAATATGAAATAAAATAATTATATATTTGAAATCAAAAATAGTATTATATTATTTTGCAATTAAAAATGAACTAAGATTTTATTGCAAAATAGAATTTGATGTCAAATATCAAATTCAAAATAAGGTATAGAGATGGTTTTTAATAGTTGCAAACTTGCAATGATAGTGATGTCTTTCTAACTTTCTAGGTGATATGAAAAAGTTAGTGGATATATTGGTATGGACACGAACTGAACACGTCAACAAACACATGTCTAGGACATATATTATCATGGACATTAAGAGATAGCCATTATACTTGGATGTAGATATAATGCATCTCTATTAAGAATCTCTTATCCAAAATCTTTCATAATGTAAACACAATATTATCTTAATAATAATTAGTCGGTATTTAGAATATTTGAGAGATCCATACCAAAAACAATTCATATATATAATGAAAGATTTGGACAGACTTTTGTGTGAAATTTTCAAGTTTTTAAAATATTCATTAACTATATATTATTATAATTTTGTGTTCACAATTCAAAAAGTTTTGGGTGAAAAACTCGCATTAGAAATGCTCTAATACTGTGGATGTTACAGTGATTTTTTTTTCTTCACGATCTATACTGTTTATTTCGCAAATTACACTTCTTAAAACGGTCTCTCTAGCAAAATTTTCTTATAAATAAATACAGCTTCATGAGCTTTCATAAAATCTATATTTTTAACATTTTTTCATACGTGCGCTGAATCCGATCCTTGTTCAAAAGAATACTTCTTGCCAAACCCTTTACCGGAAAAAAAAAAATACTTCTTGCCACATTTGATAGAATCTGTCGGTGTGAAACCATGCATGGTATAGCGTTAAATATGACTATATGAGAAACACATACATGATCTACGTCAATGATAATAATTTGCAAACTGTACAACGTTTGATTGGTTACAATCTGAATTAATTGTACAACTTGTAATGTCATAAATGTAGCTAACCATATAATATATTTTTCTTTTTTCGTAAATAGTAGACTGAAATTCTTTCTATTTTTTTCCTTCGTCTTTACAAACCGATGCTGTTATATATTGAAAAATTAAACCGGGTTTAGTGCATAAACTATTAGTGCTTCTGTAGCGAGAGAATCAGCTTCTCCATTAGCTATTCTCCGGATTACATAAAATTAATATAATGTATAGATTTCATCCGAATTCGGAAAATATCCGATTAAGTTCTGCAAAGCTCCAAGATAACCGATCTGTGCTTGATAGTTGTATGAGTTTTAGAGAGTCCGATTCTTCTTAATATCCTGCGTCAATTTGCATCGGATTTTCTAAGAAAATTGTTTGTTTGTTGACGAATATCATATTCGCAAAAATTGTTTCAGCATAACTCAAAATTTTTGTAAAATTGATAAAATCTTCTGAATTCGCAGAACTGTTTCAACATTTTTATAATACCAATAATTATTTTTATTTAGAAAAAAAAATCGATTTTTCTAAATTGTTTTATAAAAAGATTTTGTGTCATCAAGTAGTGAATATACTGATGAATTGTAATCTAAAGGGAATTGAAAAATGTTTAATTGATTACTATTCATTATTCTTAATTTTCTAAATGCGGTTGAATTTTAGAGAAATGAGTTTCTCTCCAAAATAGTAAATGAGTAACATATTTTCTTTATAATTAGTTCATTTTCAACTTCTTTTCAGTGGAATGAGTTGAAACATTTTTTAAAATCTTTTCAACTCAAATGGTAAAATTTAAAAGAATCGGTAATTCCCTCAGATTTTGTTCCTCTACATATGCAATCATTTGCACCGAGAATTTTCAACTAGATATACTAATAGAATATAAGGAGAGTTAGAATTTAGAAAGAAAAAAACATGGAATTTTTGGTCAAAAAGAATAATACACCACTTCAGTTAGTGAGTACTGTGAATTGTTATCCGACATGAATATATGTGGCATAAAGGAGATGTGTAATGATTTTAAATAATCTATAATAGATATGTATTTTAATCTTCAAGAATTTTTGGGTCGACAATTTTGTGGAGAAGATTAACATAGAAAATACCACGTGATGGCATCACTGATATTTTGAGAGTTCGTTGGAGCAGAATTAATACAGATGGTCCAACGGAAATGAATCCTATTGGTCAGGAAATGCTCCAAAGTTATAGTCTGGGCGTTGGGTCTTCATAAATACAAAATTATCCAATAATCTACGGACCTCAAAAAATGCAAAGAGTGTATCTGATGTGGAAAAAAATGAACGATTTTTAATAAAATTTTGATATTTTCAAAATATGCAAAAAAAAAAGTGAAATCAAGAGCATGTATAGAATTTAATTATTATTTTGATATGCGGTTTTTCTTTAATGTATGAGGTTTATCCCTATAAAATGACAAAAAGTATGAACGTTGAAATCAACTTCTCTTACCATCTATGCCTTTCTTTTTTATCTAATAAACTATCTTCCTTAATTTTTCAACCAGCAGCAACAATGGCAAGCCATCTTCCAGATCCCTTAACCACTTCCCATAAACCAAGTCTAGCCAAACAAGACGAAGAAACGGTGGGCTTACAGGCAGAGAGGATCTTGAACTCCTTGGCCTTTCCCATGGTTCTCAAAGCCGCCTTGGAGCTTGGTGTCATTGAGACGATCGCAGCTGTAGATGAAGGCGTGTGGCTCTCGTCTTCTGAGATTGCGCTTCGTCTCCCAACCAAACCCACCAATCCAGAGGCACCGGTTATGTTGGACCGGATGCTGGTTTTACTAGTTAGTCACTCGATCTTGAAGTACCGTACTGTAGAAACCGAAGGTGATGGTGGAATTGCAAAGACCGAGAGGGTATATGCAGCTGAACCGGTTTGCACGTGTTTCTTGAACCGTGGAGATGGCTCGGGTTCTCTTGCGTCTCTGTTCATGTTACTCCAAAGCGAAGTGTACTTCAAGACATGGTATGTACTACTTCCAAAGCAAGAAACGAACATGTCCTAAATATAAAGTAATAAACTGGTTAACAACAAAATGTTCAATATAGAGGTATCGTACCGTTGATGAAATTAATCTTTTTTTTTTTGCTATGAATGAATGAAATGGAAATTAATCTTGATTATTTGTTTTCTACAGGACACATCTCAAAGATGTGATATTAGATGGAAAAGATGCATTCACCTATGCATATGGCATGAGAGTTTTCGAATACATTGGTTTGAACGAACCATTCGCTGAGATGTTTAGTCGAGCATTATCGGAAACTTCCGCATTTACCATGACAAAGGTTTTAGAAATTTACAAAGGATTCGAAGATGTAAACACTTTAGTGGACGTTGGAGGAGGAATCGGAACCGTTATAGGTCTAATAACTTCCAAGTATCCTCATATTAAAGGCATCAATTTCGATCTACCCTCGGTTTTAGCCCATGCTCCTTTTTATCCAGGTATACCACTAATTAAGTGACAAAATTAACAAGGTATTCCCTAAACTTATTCTGTTTATCTTCCTCAATATTACTAAAAATTGGTTACGTATAGGAGTGGAACATGTTTCAGGAGATATGTTTACAGAAATTCCAAAAGGAGATACCATCTTTATGAAAGTAAGTACCTATATATGTAATGTGAAGAGTGAGTCTTTATCATTAACAGAGTATATAATCTCTAGTCAACCATATATTAACCTATCAAATAAAATGCATAAATTAATAACAGTGGATACTACATGATTGGAGTGACGAAGATTGTGTAAAGATTCTAAAAAATTGTTGGAGAAGTCTTTCTGAAAAAGGAAAAGTGATAATAGTGGAGATGCTTACGCCAATAGAACCAAAGGCCAACGACTTTTCTTCTAACATTGTGTTCGCTATGGACACGTTAATGTTAACACAAGTATCTGGTGGCAAGGAGAGGTCTCTTTCCCAGTTCGAGACTCTGGCGCTTAATTCGGGTTTTCTTCGTTGTGAAATCATATGTCGTGCATATTCATATTATGTTATTGAAATCCACAAATAGATTCCAAATTTTTACCAAAGTAAAACTGCGAGTTATCTAGTACATGTGGGCTAAAAACTTGGAATCATATTCTTTTAACATTTTTCTTGATTGTTGGAATCATATTGTGTTGTTTTCAAAAGTTAGAACGAGATTTGATTTTCATAAAAGAGTTGAACATGATTGCACAAAGCGGCAGCAACGTAAGTCATAATCCTCATAAAACATAATAAAAAAAAAAAAAAAAAACATAGTTATAGGAAAACATTAGAGAGCAAACTTCTTTTAACATTTTTCTTGATTGTTGGAATCGGCTAGAGGCTTTTTACATAAACTCTGTAAAAGGTTTAAGAAAAAAACAATAAACTCTCTCAGAAAGTTTGCACCCAACGACTTTTGTTACCGGATCAAAGAGATTGAAAGCCCACGAAAAAAAAACCATTTTTATCCAAGTTGCTTATAGTAGGCCTCACAAAGATCATAAAGATATTCGGAAACCACATATCTAACCAAACCATTTCTTAATCATTGACTCATTGTATACAACTTGGTTCTTGTCCATTTGCCCTATATGTATGGATCATTACGAGAAATAAATAAGTAAAGGTCCACGTTATTTTCAACTCAGTAAGTACTTTCTTTCAACTCAGTAAGAAAAAGACATGTCAGAGAGATAAGACAGACCATCATCCAATATATCTTTTATATCATTTTTTTTCAAAAAAAATCTATATTTTTTTCTATTTAAAAATGATATAATGTAAGTATTTTTATTTACAAAATATGTTTTCAACTTTTAATATTACGTTTTATATACAAATCGACACTAAAAGAATTCCTTTATCGGCAATACAAACAATCATGACAAATAATAACTTAGCCTACAACATTTCTAAACTGCGAATAAACTTTGCATCCAATATAAACTAAACTAGATTTAATGATTCAAAAATATTTTATCTTTCATATTATGTATTTATATCTCATATTATGTATTTATATCGTAAAAATAAAAGAAATTAGATCAGATGTTTTAATTAATTTGTTATTATGTCTAAATCTATATATTGGTGCAACATAAAATAATATATATATATATATTTGTGACATATTTTATTTGTTATTGTTAACATTAACTTCATTTCTTCTTCTTATAAATTTACAATAACCTTTAAACTATTTTTAACCAAAATTTTGTATATAATAAGTTTTGGTTAAAGTTTTTTTTATTTCAAATTGTATACTTTCAAATTCTAAATTTCGCAAATGAGATCTTATTTCGATCTTTAGTTTCAATTTTTCTATAGTATCTGGTGTGGCTTATTGTTAATCATTTGAGAAAATGAAAACACGAAAGCCGTTTATAATAATCAATATACAATTAAAGATGATAATACATAAAACTAAGATATGTGATTCTGAATATTGTATAAAGAGTACTTCTATTAAGACACATATGAACATCTGTGATTTTTGTTTTAATTCCCAATCAATAATATGAATTGTATAAATTAATTAAAAAAAATCAATTATACAATTTACGAAGGCATTCCTAAATACATGTAATGACTTTCTTAATTTGTACATTTTAGGAAAGTCTTCCTAAAACTTTAGAATAAATTTACTCTCATTTTCTTCTTCACTTCTGCGACATCCAAATCCTAATTTTCACCGATTTTTTTTTTTACCATTGTTGTTGTTTTAGCTCGGGTTTCATGAGTTTTTCACTCAATTATATCAGATCTATCTTACACAATATGATTTTGAGCTTTAAATCCCGAAATCACTTTTTCATAAAAAAAAGACCTCAAAGATCTAAGAGATTCACAATCACAAATCACAATCAAACTGAAAGACCGATCATAAACAAAACAAAAGATTCGTATTTCAGATTAGTCTTATCTATTAATATTTTTGTTTGTGAAAAATTTGAAAAATGTTATGGAATGAATTTTTTAGAGTGTCAGTATATATTAGGAACAAAAATTTAAATTAGGTAGATTTGAGGGAATTTTTCTTATATATTTTTCATTTTAAATATTCCATTTCAAAAGAAATATGAAATAAGATAGTTATATACATATGATATAAACATAGTATATATTATTTTGCAATTAAAGTTAAATTAAAATCGAGATAATTTTATAATGGAATATAATTTAATATTAAATTTAGAATAAGGTTATAGATGCTTTAATAGTTGCAAACTTGCAATGATAGTGTATTTCTAACTTTCTAGGTGATATGAAAAAGTTAGTGTATATATTGTATGGACACGAATTGGACACGTCAACAAACACATGTCTAGGACATATATTATCATGGACATATTAAAATATATATAAAAGATAGCCATTATGAAAAAAAAAAAAAAAAAAAAAAAAAAAGAGATAGCCATTATGCTTTTGATTAACTTTCTATGATCTCTTTATAATTGATCCATGATATAGTTGTTCACAAACTCGTGTCTTTGTTAACCCTTCACTCAATGATCGTATCCATAGGACCATACCAAAATATCCATAATAATATGCCGGCCCACGTACGTTTTCACTTTTCATTTCACTAAACTATTCTTCTTCTTTCTTCTTTTGTTAAAGGAAACTATCCACTTCTTTCCAAATTAGAAGAGAGTGTCTATAAAAAAAACACTACTGTAAAATGTTTATTTCGCAAATTGCACTTCTTAAAACGGCCTCTCTAACAAAAAATTTCTTATAAATAATTACATCCAGGAGCTTTAATAAAATATATAATTTTTTACATACATGCGCTGAATCCAATCCTTCCTTGTTCAAAACAATACTTCTTGCCAAACCCTTTACCGAAAAAGAGAGAGAAAAGAATAATACATTTGTTAGAATCTGTCGGTGTGAAATTATGCATGGTATAGCGTAAATATACCTATTTATATTCAATTGGTGATATATATGACAATATGAGAAACACATGCATGATCTACGTCAATGATAATAATTTGCAAAAGTAATTGTACAAGTTGTGATGTCATAGATGTAGCTAACCATATAATATATATTTCTTTTTTTGTAAATAGTAGAATGAAATTCTTTCATAAAATTTTTCTTCTTCTTTACCAACCGATGCTATTATATATTGAGAAATTAAACCGGGTTTAGTGCATAAACAATAGTGCCTGTTTAGCGAAGGAATCAGCTTCTCCATTAGCTATTCTCGGGATTTTATGTACATAAAATTAATAAAATGTAGATTTAATCTGAAAAATATCCGATGTAAGTTCCGCATGCAAAGCTACAAGAATAATAGTGCTTGTTTTTTAGTCAATGAATTTCTTTTGTACTCTTGAGTAAAGGATTGTTTTTCTTTTTCAAAATCGTTTGTGGAGATTGTTTTAGTGTCAACGAGGTGCATCCTGTTCAATGTAGAAATCTGTTGTCATTAGGATTTTTAAATAACCAAGTGCACAAATACTAAGCTTAAGTTAGCAACTTTTATAAATGAAATGCTTATCGAACCATTGATCGAAATAGCCAAATAGGCGCGAGAAAAGCATATTTGGCTATATGTATTAATACCGTGTGATGGCATCTAATAATATGAAGCATAATTTTGGCCTTTTGGTACACTTAGCTTTTGACGTTTCTCCCTATAATATGACTCTGATGTAAACGTTGATTACAACATTTTTTGTTTTATTTTTCTAAACAAACTCTGATTACAACCTTCTGTCACCTATACCTTTGTTACTTATCTATCTATTTTCATCATTTTTACAACCCAACAACAATATCTAATAGATATATAAATTCTATGTTATTACATAGTTTTATGAATTGATGTATATACTTTTAAATATTATATGTATTTTCTCATATGTAAATAGTCGAATAAAATGCCTCCATATATATCTTGCGTTAGCTTACATCGAATTTTAAGAGTATTGTTTGTTGTTAGCATATTTGGAGAACGACGGAACATAATATAAATATAAATTTCAAAAAATTGTGTGCGCGCTTAAATCTTTAATATTGCAGAACTGTGGTAACATGAATGTGTTATTATTATATATTTTATGACTAAGTCATGTTCGGTCATGACAAGAAGCACAATCAAATACTTCTTCCCTACTAATAATCTAATAATCCCAACGCATAACACGGCTATCCCACATGAGTTACTATAGTCCCAGGCTCCGATTTGACTTTGATCATTATGAGATGGTACCAAGATCAGACCGTCAGGTCGTGAAGCTTATACGGGAGATGATATTATACCACGATGCATAATGGCGTTACTCATCTAAAAACATAAAATACCGTGATGATGACATTTTTTCATTTCTTAATAATATGTATGTTGCCAAATTTGGGAAAACTGAAAAAGATGAAAAAAAGAAAAAAAAAACAAGAGAGAATTTAAAACTATAAAATTTTACATTTTTAATCTTTTATTTTATAATACAGATCTAATATTCTAATCTTGTAATTAGATACTGAACTACGTAACATATCTATTATCATGGCATTATTATTAAAAACGTATAGTATTTGCATTTAAATACTGTGGACTTAATTATTCAACAGACATGATATCTTTTGTATCCAAAATATATCCCACATTCTAACAATTTATTTCTTTGGTGATATTTTATAAATATTCTTCTCTTCATTATATAATATATATAAAAATAGTACACATGTTCAAATGTTGGATGTATTGACTTTTTAATCAAAATCTCATATCAAGATCCAAATACTTCAATACTATATTCTTTAATCATAGCAGATCTTAGATCATGTATATTTGACCAAATCATAATCTAATTCAAAAATACAAAAGGGCAACATTTTGGTGATCTATTATTGGTAAATAATTTATATGAGGGCATTCAATATATAAATTATTCATTAGTATACTTACAGAGAAAAAAATATTTGAAAGAAATATTAAAAGTGTCGGTTTGGTTAATACATATATATATATATATATTAATTTAAATGAAGACGGATACTATAGTATTAAATAGTAATTCTGATTATTAATTTCAGTGAATCTCTTTATACAATATTTTTCAAGAAGTTTGAGAATTTTACATATACATCTTTGGATGCCAGACAATATATGATGAAGAATATATTTATACATCGATAAAATTTATATATATTTACGACAAACGAAGTCGATGTAAATAAAATTTAGACACGAATTTGATTTGCAGACACATGTATTATGCTTTCGTTATTTCCCATGAAAAAGATATTAAAATAGTATTTGGCACCAGTTTTAGAGGTTTCTCCGTATAAAATGACATTAAGTGTAGACGTTGAAACTAGCTTTCTCTTACCTTTTGTTATCTGCCTTTCTCAATTTTAACAACAATGGCAAACCATCTTCAAGATCCCTTAACCACTTCCACTAAACCAAGTCTAATCAAAGAAGAAGAAAGATCTGATGAAGAAACGGTGAGCTTGCAAGCAGAGAGTCTCGTGAACATAATGGCCTTCCCCATGGTTCTCAAAGCGGCCTTGGAGCTCGGCGTCATCGATACGATCGCAGCCGTAGATGAAGGCGTGTGGCTCTCTTCTTATGAGATTTCGCTTCGTCTCCCAACAAAACCCACCAACCCGGAGGCACCGGTTTTACTGGACCGGATGCTGATTTTACTAGCCAGCCACTCGATCTTGAAGTACCGTACGGTTGAAACCAAAGAAAACAACCGAACCGGAGAGACCGAGAGGGTATATGCAGCTGAACCGGTTTGCAAGTTTTTCTTGAGCAGTGGAGATGGCTCCGGTTCTCTTGCGTCTCTGTTCTTGGTAAACCTAAGCGAAGTCTATTTCAAGACTTGGTACGTTACACTAACCCATACTCAAGTAGTCCGGTTTACAACAACATGTCATAGATCTTGTAACTAAACTAGGTTACAACAAAATGTTCTATAACATAAAGTCAACTAACAATTAATGTATATATATATTTTTTTTTATCATAGGACACATCTAAAAGATTTGGTATTAGAAGGAAAAGATGCATTCGTCTCTGCTCATGGTATGAGATTCTTCGAATACACTGGTTTGAACGAACGATTCAGTGAGATGTTTAACCAGGGAATGTCGGAAGCTTCCACGTTGACCATGAAGAAGGTTTTAGAAGTTTACAAAGGATTCGAAGATGTAAACACTTTGGTGGATGTTGGAGGAGGAAATGGAACCGTTATAAGTCTAGTTATATCCAAGTATCCTCACATTAAAGGCATCAATTTCGATTTAGCCTCGGTTATAGCCAATGCTCCTCTTTATCCAGGTGCTAAGCATATTTAAATGATAAAATTAACAAAGTGTATATTATTAAAGAGCTAGTTGTAATTAAAAGCTCTTATATATAGGAGTGGAGCATGTTTCAGGAGATATGTTCACAGAAATTCCAAAAGGAGATGCTATATTCATGAAAGTAAGTTCCTCCTATACATGTGGAATAGTTTTATACTATGATCAAATATGTAATTTTATGGTTAATGGCAGTGGATACTACATGATTGGAATGACGAAGACTGTGTAAAGATTTTAAAAAACTGCTGGAGAAGTCTTCCCAAAGAAGGAAAAGTGATAATAGTCGATATGGTGATACAACCAAAGATCAACGACGTTCGTTCTAACATTGTGTTGGCCAAAGACATGGTGATGCTAACGCAATGCTCGGGTGGTAAGGAGAAGAATCTTTCTCAGTTCGAGACTTTGGCATTTGACTCGGGTTTTCGTCGTTGTGAAATGATCTGTCGTGTTACTTCATATTATGTTATCGAACTCCACAAATAGATTCGAATTGTTACCAAGAAAACCTTATGAATCATGTGGAGACTAAAAACCTGAGGAGCTTATTTTTAGGTAATGGGTTTTTTTTTTTTAATTGTGTGTTTTATTGTTTTTCATATTAATGATTGTGGAGATTGTGGCTGTAATTTAAGTATTTAACCAATTCTCCTTCATTTTAAAACAATCTGCAGAAATTATTAGAATTTTCTGCATAAAAAGTTTATTTAAAAAAAAAATAACAATCTAGTTTTTTAAGCTTCAAATATAATAATAATATTCAGAAACATTCACAAGCAATTTAAATCTAGAAAAACAGAGTAATACAGAATAGGAAGTTCTAAGATCCATCCAACAGCGAGAATTAACCAATTCGGTTTAAGCACAAACCGGACACCGGTTCATCACTAGAGATGAGTGGAAGTTATCTGGGCTTAAGCTGCTTTCGCTGTTTCACGAACAACGGCTAACTTAGCAAGAAGACCACAGAGCTGAAGATATGATCCAACTCCATCACAGATTCTCATATGCGCAAACCCAGTTTCCTGAAAAAAGAACACAAATTAGTGAAGAACATTCAATGCAGAGTGAGATGTTTTTTGAGATGTGAAGAAGAATCATATGTTGTATTTACCTTCATGAACTCAAGTTTCAGATACTCAGCCATATCATAATTCTTTATTATACGGAAAAGCGTTGTGATAATGTCGGTTGGAGAGTAGCCTAGATCGTATAGCTGCTTCATGCCTTGACAAGCATTGTCAAACTTACTCTCCAACACATTGCGAACCATGTTCTTGACATGAAGCGGGTGAGGCTGGTCACAGACCTGAAAGCAAGAAATGAGGACATAAGTGGAGAGAGAGATCTATAGTTTATGTATGTGAAACCTAAAGTGTTTCATCAGGTAAGGTTTTGTATCGAACCTTGAAAACGTTTTCTTGGTTGACAAACCGAAACCCGCTGAATGTGGCTTGCAAGTTGTTCAGAGCTTGCCTCATGTCACCATCAGCTGTGAAGATTATCGCCTCAAGGCCTTCAGGTACATATGGAACCTTGAGAGATAGAAACGTCGAAAATTGTTGGTTAACGAAAGTTATCCATTTGACTACTTAGCAAAGGCAAAACAAGGGTTCTAATCCCATAGTATGTAAACATGTAGAACGAGAGAAAAGTGGCAGAATCCATACATTCTCTGCTTGGACCACCACCATGAGACGGCCAAGTATCTCCTGATCAGATAACCTAGAGAATCGAACTAGGGCGCATCTACTCTGAATGGGCTCAATGATCTTGGCCGATGTGTTACAAGCAAGTGCAAACCTCGTAGAGTTTGAATAGATCTCAATCGTTCTCCTCAAGGCTTGTTGTGCTCCAGATGTCATGCTGATTTCACAAACCAAAACAGAAGTAAAACTTGAATGGCGAAATTCAAAAGGACCGTAGCAAAGCCAACAGTGTAAAATGCAGAGAAGAGAAAGAAAAAAAACCCAAGTAAAAGTCACAAACTTAGCAGCACGAACCTGTCAGCTTCATCAAGAATGACAACCTTATGGCGTCCTGGAGGAAGTGTTACTTTCTTCTGCGCAAACATCTTAATTTTGTTCCTAACAACATCGATACCCCTACACCATAGCAAGAAAAACAATGCCACACAGAGAAGATTAGGAACCAAACAACGAATGAAGATGGAATCAAACTCTCAATGGTTAAAGGTTGTCATCACATATAAATACCTATCATCAGATGCATTCAGCTCAAGAACAGCCTCCCTGTAATTTGGGCCAAGTAGCTCGTGAGCGAGAGCCAAAATGCTAGTGGTTTTACCTGTTCCAGGAGGACCCTGTGGATATCAAACAAACAGCACAAACGCACATATCAGAGTTCTACAAGTTATACTGATCAAGTCCATACTAAACACAACATCCTTGAAATCGATAAACACTAAAAATTGCAGCTTATTTATCAATGAACAGGTGAAATCAAGCCTTCAATACACTTGGTTCACTTCAACAGATGATAGAAAATGATCAAAGCCCTAAAATTCACAAGCTTTATCCTGAAATCTACACAAGAGACAAACCTAATTCAATACCCAAATAGAGTTTCTCATCAACCCTAGTGGACGTCGGCAAACAATTTGTTTTTGGAAATGTTGAGGAGGACTGAAATCGTAGAGTTTTCCAATTGAAAGATTGAAGAACTAAGAACAGTGAATCTCACCGCAAGGATAAGATTCGGCATGTTCCCGTCGCGAGCGATGACTTGAAGTCTCGAGACGGCATCTTCGTTTCCGACGATATCAACCACCTTGCTCGGCCTGTATTTCTCGACCCACGGGATTTCGTAACCGCCAACGCTAGATGTTGAAGACGAAGACGCCATTTTTAGTCAGAAGAGAGAAGAATTTCCGGTGAGATTTGGGGATTTTCTGGTTTGGAGGGAAAATTGCTGGAGAATAAGGGTTTTAGTTTTTAGGGATACATTAAAATTGCATCGAAGGGACTGTAAAAAGAGAAGAATACGAATTCTGTACCAAAGTATAATAAATTATCTCATAGCCTCCTAAAATTACTCAATCTTACTTACATAACCCCGCTTATATGCCATTTTTCATTAAAGGGCCTGTAAAAAGATTTATATACGAAATCTGGACCAAAGTATTGTAATTTCATTATATAGCCATTCCATAAATAACTCGATATTACATACATGCACCGCTTTTTTTGTTTGGCTGTCGTTTTAGGAGACCATTAAATATTAATTAATTTTGTATTCAATTTCAGACAAACATCAATCACGTTTTTCCCATTTTTCCGTGTTCATCCTCTTTCTCTCTCTCTTCTCTAATCGAAACCCTAGCAAATCCGATTTTGTCTCTGAGACTGAAATTTCTCCTTTTTAATGGCGTAACTCTACACCAATTTCAACGAATTGAGATCAATTTCTGAAATTTTGAAGAAGAAAAAAAAAATGTCAACAGAGTCTGCGGCGTACAATTCCTCGCCGGCGTCATCTCGCCGTCATTCTACCGACGCAATTGATGCGTCGCCTTTGCTTTTAACCGGAGGTGATAATGACGGCGGTGGAAGGAGGTCGGTGAGGAGGCAAGGGCTGAGGGAAGCGGCGAGGTTACTAAGACATGCAAGTAGCGGGAGGATGATGATGAGGGAGCCGTCGATGCTGGTCCGTGAATCAGCGGCGGAGCAGCTCGAGGAGAGGCAAAGCGATTGGGCTTACTCGAAGCCTGTGGTTGTTCTGGATTTCGTTTGGAACCTTGCTTTCGTCGCCGTTGCTACAGCTGTTCTTGTGCTTAGCAGCGATGAGAAACCGAATATGCCTCTTAGGGTTTGGATTATTGGGTATGGGCTGCAATGTATGATGCACATGGTCTGTGTTTGTGTGGAGTATCGCAGGAGAAATAGAAGGAGAAGTCCAAGATCTCGTTCTTCTTCTTCTTCTTCTTCTTCTTCCTCCTCATCTTCTTCTATGGAGGAAGAAGAAGTGGGTTTGGGTTTGAGAAGAAACTCAGAAGATCGATACTTGGGACTAGGGCAATTAGAGAGTGAAAGCAACAGGTATGTTCTTTTAAGCAGATCACTTGTTTTAGCTCTATTATTGATTGTGATGTGAAGTTTTTGGCTAAAGTAGTGTTTCTGTAATCAGTTTTGCTAAGCATCTAGAGTCTGCAAATACGATGTTTTCGTTTATATGGTGGATCATTGGATTCTACTGGGTATCTTCTGGTGGACAAGAGTTAGCACAAGGATCCCCTCAGCTTTATTGGTATCTCTCTTAAATTCCCTGAGTGTGTTTGAAGTGTTTTGAGTTTTCTTAAAAGTTGTTTGAATGTATTTTTGTTATTTTTTATAGGTTGTGTATAGTTTTCCTCGGATTCGATGTGTTCTTTGTGGTTTTCTGCGTTGCATTGGCTTGTGTTATCGGCATTGCTGTTTGTTGCTGCTTGCCTTGCATCATTGCAGTTCTATACGCCGTTGCAGAACAGGTAACTTCTCTCATAAATTGTATTGCCATTTTTTTTTTCTTACCTCCAAGGAAGTCGATTTGATCTGTTGAAAAATGCAGGAAGGAGCTTCGAAAGAAGACATTGACCAACTTACTAAATTTAAATTTCGAAAGGTTAGTGACGCTGAGAAACGCAATGTTGATGAAGAGCAACAAGCACAAGGAGACTCAGGAGGAGTGATGACTGAATGTGGTACAGATTCACCCGTTGAACATACTCTTCCTCATGAGGATGCAGTAAGTGACACAAAACTCACTTTCTTCTTTCCTTTCTACTAGTAAACTCTGTAAATTCTGCATTATGATGTTTCTGTTTGGATCATTGACGAACAAATCCGGATTTTGCTCATTGTGAATCTACAGGAATGTTGCATTTGTCTTTCGGCTTATGAAGATGAGACTGAGCTAAGAGAGCTTCCTTGTGGCCATCATTTCCATTGCGGTTGTGTGGACAAATGGCTTTACATAAACGCTACGTGTCCTCTCTGCAAATACAACATCCTCAAGAGTAGCAACGATGAAGACGGCGAGCAAGTCTAAGAACATAAAGAAGAAGGAAACTTGCAAATACGCGAATACCTGTATCTTTAACAGAGAGGAACCCCGGAGAAAAAGGGTTCCACAATTGATCAATTTGTAGTTTTATGTTGTGTAATACACATTTTAGTCGTTTTTTTAGAAAAATTCTATCTTACTTGCTCAACAAGACAACATCATCTTGTTTCTCTCTGCTTTTTGCTTTTTTTTTTTTGTTTTATCTCGAATTGAGAATGTTTCTGCAGTGAACTATGATTTGAGTTTATACACGTGCTTGATACATCCTTCACACTGTGAAACCATAAAATCGTATTTAACGTAATTTGTTTATTAACCAGAAAAGGAACTCGTTCAATACAACACCTCTTTTATGAATAGAGAAAAAATAGATGCTGGAAAAATAAAACACATCTATATTTGTTTTTCACTTTTATATTGAGTGTTGAAAATGAAAAGGAAAAGCTTTTGAGAGAGAGAGAGAGAGAGAGAAGAAAAAAAGGAGTTTCAAGGCTTTTTCTGGAAACCCCATGGATTGTTATTTGCCCAATTCCATTGATCTCTGCACATCTCATCAACTCCATATTTTGCCCTAATGAAACAAAAGTCAGAGAATCAATCCTCTGTTCATAATAACTCAAAACATAAAAAGATGAAACTTGTATACAAAGTATTTAAAGTTCTTATCAAAATGCAGACAATCGACTTACTTCCATCCGAGTTCCTTCTCAGCTCTCTCAGTTGAAGCATAAACAGCTGTTGCATCTCCAGCTCTTCTTGGACATAGCTTGATAGGGATTTTCTGCAAAAGTGATTTGCTTATCATTATAGCATTCTTTGACACCAAATCTTCCATCACGTTTGCACTGTTGTAATTTGGGGTAATAACAGTGAAAGAAATAAGATAAACTTTACCTTGCCAGAAGCTTTTTCAAAAGCAGAAACCATTTCCAAGACAGAAGTTCCTTGACCAGTCCCAAGATTGTAAGCAGTACAGCCTAAAGATTAAAGATGACACACACCAACACATTAAACATTTTCAGAATCATAACCTTTGATCAGAGTTGAACCAAAATAATTCAAACTGTTTTTAGTGTTTACCAATCTTTGGGTCAGTAAAAAGCTTGTTCAGTGCAGCAACATGACCGTCTGCTAAATCCATTACATGAATGTAGTCTCTTACCTGCAAGTAGTGTACGTTTGTTTAGCAATCTATCATCATAAATCCAAACGAGTTTTGCAAATAAGAAACAGGTAGTTATCGAATGTTGTACCGCGCTACCATCCTTAGTGGGATAATCATGTCCAAATACATTGAGTTCAGGTAATCTCCCAACAGCAACTTGTTGTATATAAGGCATGAGATTGTTCGGTATGCCTTTTGGATCTTCTCCAATTCTTCCGCTCTCGTGAGCTCCCACTGGATTGAAGTACCTCAGAAGAATTATCCTCCACTCTGGTTCAGCTGCGTGAATGTCTCTGGCTATTTCTTCAAGAAACAGCTACGTAAAAGAGAGAAAATGAGATCACTTTCAAGATGACTGGACGCAAAACAAAACTCAAGATGACAACTTTGATGTGCTCAAGAGCTTAATCTCTAGCTTTTTTCAAGTCCTCAGTTACAAGTTACATCACTGTCAAGATGATTGGACTCAAGACGACAACTTTAATGTGCTCAAGAGCTTAATCTCTAGCTTTTCAAGTCCTTAGTCACAAATGAGATCACTTTCACGATTATTGAACTCAAGACAAAATTCAAGATGACAACTTTGAAGTGCTCAAGAGCTACTTAAAGAGATAAATGAGATCACTTTCAAGATGATCGGACTCAAAACAAAACTCAAGATGATGACTTTGATGTGCTCGAGAGCTGCATAAAGATGAGAAATGAGACCACTTTCAAGATGATTGGACTCAAAACAAAACTCAAGATGACAACTTTGATGTGCTCAAGTGCTACATAAAGAGATATATGAGATCATTTCAAGATGATTGGATTCAAAACAAAACTCAAGATGAGAACTTTGATTTGCTCGAGAACTTAATCCCTAGCTTTTCAAGTCCTCAGTCACAAATGAGATCACTTTGAAGATTATTGGACTGAAAACAAGACTCAAGATGAAAACGTTGATGTGATCAAGAGCTTTAATAATACCTTAGTACGACCGTAAGGATTCATAGCCTGTAACTCAAAGTCTTCCACACATGGGACTGTTTCGGGTTGGCCATAAACTGTTGCAGACGATGAAAACACCATCTGTATACATATATTTCAGCATCAAAACAATTTGTAAGCCCATCAATGTTAATCATACTAACCATTTACAATAGTAAACAAAAATAGGATTCGTGTCTAACCCTTTTGCAGTTGTACTTTGCCATTGTCTCATACAGATTGATTGTTCCAACCAGATTATTATCAAAGTAACGACGAGGGTTTCCAACGCTTTCACCCACAGCTTTAAGACCAGCAAAGTGAATCACAGCATCAAATCTGTTTTCTCTCACAAATAATCAGAATATCAGCAAAAAGAAGAAATGTCTCTTGACGTGAATAAAAAATTACATAATTTGAGTGAGTCTCAACAATACCTCTGATTGGAAAAGAGTTTCTCAATATCCCCTTTGTTTCTTAAATCACCCTGCATTTAATTAATAACACGCAAAATCTTATATAACTTGCAAACAAATGAAAACCTACGAATATTCTAATGGATGACTGAGCAAATTCTTCAACTTTGGGAATCAACCCAAAAGGAAACATCATTTACTTTATGGATTCAGAAAGAAAACTCATTTCTTTGTTTTCTTTTAAGGCATTCTAAAAGATGAACAAATGTACAATCTCAATTCCTAAAAATAGCCAAACGTTACATAAAAATCAAAGCTTTTTTTATTAGTGGTACTGACCAGATTGAATTCAAGCTTGGTAGAGAGATCAGGACCAACGAGCTCACGAACCCTATGAACAGCTTCGACGACAGAGTTATCAAGATTATCGATGATCGAAACCTTAAAGCCTTGATTCAAGAGTTGAACAACAGTGTGTGTCCCGATGAATCCAGCACCACCAGTCACCAGAATGCTCTGCTCCACAGAAGAACCCATTTATCTAAAACGAATTTCGGAAAACCCACTTCGCAAATTCGAAACTTTCTTCACTGTTTAGGATAAAGAAAGAAAGATAAATCGACGGTTGAGCAAATCAAGGGGAGAGAGAGAGAATGTGAGAGTCTCTGTTTTGGGATTTTATTGATCTGTTGCTTTCTTGTGAGTAGATAAAAACGACGCCGCAAAAGCGAAAGTAAGGAAAAGGCTGAGATAGAGAAATCTTTCTTTTTGGTTTCTTCTAAAGAAAAGTGAAGACGATGAAGATTAATCCGTGTCTTCTTTGATCTTGGAATTAAGCTCGTGGAGGTTTAAATAATTGATAGGGAAAATGAATCACTTTACAGCTTTTTGACCCAAAAAAAAAAAGATTTTCTTTGAACAAAAAAAAAAAAGATATTCATTTGCCTGTTCTTAATCTATTTTGGGATTATGGATAACGAATGAAGACCAAATCCACGAGGATTAGAAGGGGAAAGTTTGTTTGTTTGTTTTTCAGTTAACGTGTAATCTACTTTGCTTCCTAATTTTTTTAAATAATTAAGGATTTTGATAGTTTAGACCCAAATTATATATATGGATTGGGTTTGTCCTTTTACTTGTTCACCTGCTTTTATTTTATTTTGTTTCTTTTTTTAGGTATAATGCTATTTCTACAGAATTTTTGGTAATAGACACGATAAATAAAGTGCACCGACTTGAATATGTTAAAAACTTCGAATATTAGTATTTTCATAATTAAATAACAATCTTTTCGAAGAGATAGTGTTTTTAGAGATTTAGTAATATGATTCATGTTTTTTCTGTTTAATTTTCATAAACTATAATCAAATATATACATTTTGGCAAATTTTTGTTCATTTGTTTATAGTACTCCAATAGTTGAAATCCGCGATGATCTTACAAAATCACGGAAAAGTTTAAAATCAATGTATAATTAATTATAATATTATTTGTCCAAGCTCGTGCAAACATATAGTTTCGCAGAAATGAATCCATGTATATTTTAGATAGATGAATGATGACAAATAAAAAAATATAAAAGTATAAACTCTTCTCTTCCGGAATGAAAAAGAAGAAGAAAAGAATTTAAGGTTTGATTAATAAAAACTTAACTAACGTAAATAAAGTTATCAATCTTTATAGAGTTTTAGAGAAAAGAGGAAGGGATTTGAATAGTAATGATTCCATTGATTATATAAATGATCCTTTGTACTAACTCACAAACAATATTTATATTATTATCATAATTTGTTTGTTACTTAAACTTTGAAAACACCAAACGAGCAAGGCAAATATTAAAAGTAATCGATGTCTCGTCGTATGACTAGGCCCGATCATAAGAATGCTTACGTCATCACCATCCACTATCCAGTATTAGACAGTAGATAGCCCATTTGCTCGTCTGAGGATATCAATCAATCAAATATAAGCACAGTAATTAAAAATAATTGAAAAATGTTTTTAACTATTTAGTAATAATATTTAGTTAAAGACCATATATAGAAACTATGACAAATATCACAAAACTATGACAAATATCACAACAAACAACATGTTTTCTCTTCAAACTATTTAATCCTCACATATATACATAGATGCAAATTTGAAGTATGGCAATTGTAATTTGGAAACTAAGTTTACATACTTAAATTTTTTGGCTTTCTGAAATTCTTTAATTCTATTATATCCGGAGATTACATAAATTATTACTAATAAATAATTACTAATATTTTTCTTAATCAACAATTTGAAATGGAAGGAAGCCATTGAATATATTTCATCGAGGTGAAAAGGTAGGTGTGGTCTTGTGGGGTCTTTTTGCCAACACATTATTTTTGGATGAATCTAGGTCTTTCCTTTTCGGCGGTTTCCTATAAACCCTAACCAACCTTGCATTGGTCCCAAGCAGATATTTTAGTTTAATTGTCTGTTAGTCCAAATATTATTTTATTTAAATAGTAATAAATACTATATTAAATCGTAACCAAACTATATGGAATATTCTCTATATATATATAATATAGATATCATTTATTTTGAAATTCTAGGTAGTGATGGAAAAGACCGGTTAATATAGTTTTTATTAGATCGGTTAATACAATTTATATTGTTTGCATTTTCTCTACACCCTATAAAAAAGATCATACAGAATAATACTAAATGCAACGATAAATAAAATGCTACGTGACTGGATCAGAGAAAAGAATCGAATTTGAAAGACTGAATCACTTTTTGTGGATATTAAGGAAGAACGAAAACAAACATGGTGCGACTATTACTCAATAAAAAAGTTCAGCATGTAAATATGATTTGGTGAATTTTTTTGGGTTGGTCAAATATTATTCTTGAAAAATATATATTTTCTGTTTGAGTCCACAAAAATAGAAAAAACTTGATTGTTAAGCCAAATTAAATGTTTCCTATCATTACACAAAAAAGGATATATATACTTAATTTAATAATAATTTTTGGAATCTTTTCTGTAAAAAAATTTCTAAATACGTTAACAATAGTACAATACACTGACAATGTGTTTGACACTACTCTTTTATTAAGTAGTTCAAATGTTATGATTATTACCCTTTTTACTGAAAAATTATGATTATTATTTACAGGTTGTTATAACTTTAACGTTACTGCTTCATACTTAATCGTCTTTTAACCAATTTAACATTAGTTATATTTTGTTCAGGCAACTATTTAGTTTAACAATGATCTAATTAAATATACATCTTTCTTTAATTTGGCACTGATCAATATACATATCATGAAAAAAAATTAATCATAAACTATACGTTACACAAAAAAGAAAAAGTAATGACAGGTAACTTTTTTTTTGAATTTGATCATACGGTCAACTTTTGTCATAGATAAAATACACATCAGTAACTAGACATACATCTCCTTTAGCATATACGATTAATTAATTCGAAATTAGCAACATCAAAGGCTGGATTAAAATTCCCTGTTAAATAATATTACAAAGAAAATGATGTGATTAGCGAATGAGATAGTTCAAAGCAAATGACATTCTCTATGATTTATCGTTTAAACTCTACCTAACATGATTTATCGTTTAAATCCTAGTTAGATAAAAAAAAAGTAACCACGATCAACTTTCGATAATAACTATTAACAAAATACACATTATGATCTCGTTGTTATTATCTGATTAGACAGAATCTCGCTTATGCCTAGCATAAGATACACATCGGCTGTGTGACAACGAACTTGTTTAGAAGATTACGTTCAGAGATTGAGACTAGCGTTGATTAAAAAATTTCATATACAACGGCAACGTCTACCGTTTCCCGAGGTGAGAAACTATGGTATGTCAAGTTGGAGAATTTTGGTTATCCAGAGGGTATCTAGGAGAAATACAAAAAAAGAATATATTCGTAAAACACTAACAAAATTTAATAGATAATATTACATTCTATTTTTGTCTTTTTTTAAAGAGGTCTAGCTGGCAGTATATATAATATAATAGAAATAGTTTTAATTAAATATAGGTAGGCCCCTCGAGAAGTTAGTGGGTCTAGGGTTTTAGGGTGTTATTTTCTATAAAACTTACCCATCTCCCTCGTACGGAGGAGATCATATGAATCAAGCAGAGTTTTTTGTTTACCCTTTGCGAAACAATCTTTCTGATATATTCTGAGTGTCCTTTTTATTGGAGGTTTTCTATGTCTTTTTTTCTCTCGTACATTTTGGACCTTGCAAGAAAATTGTCTTTTTAACTTTTGAAGAAAAACACAAAAAGTATATATAAAGTAATGCAACTTTTTTATGTTCTTACACAGACACAATATATATGTAAAGAGTATGTACTACAACAGGTTATCAACATATTTTGATTATTATCTTAAGAAAACAACAATAATCAACATCAAATACAAAAACAAAATCACGTTCTTTATATAATGGAGAAAACAAACTACTGTTATGTATGATTCTTAGGGCTTCTTACGTGAAATCATATAAAATACATTAGTGCATGGAAAAGATCACAATATGTGTTGGTTTTTATTGTTTTTTAAAATTATATGCATTAAACTGTCAGCACATCATTTTTAATTACTGTTCCAGTTAAAAGTTCATTATAACTAATTTTTAACACTGCATAACTTTCAAATGTGATCTGGTATGAAGTCCATAATGTAGACACATACACAAACACACATATATACAACCATGCCAAATTGCAAATGACTATATAAACCCTGCTAATTTTTGTAATTTTATGTTGAAGGAACCAACACAGAATAATTTGACCCTCTAATCGTTCTGGGATAAGAGTCTGAAACTTGTATATTAACCATAAACTAGCTATAAGCAATCAATATCATTAAAGTTGACATTAAGGTCAGATTGCCTTAACAAACAAATCAATTGATACTTTTTGTTCAATTTGAAGATAATGTACACACACAAAATTATTTTAAAGTTCCTTGTTTTTATTTATGTCTTGCAAAAATAGTATTATTTTCAGATTAGTTATTTTGTGGAATATCAACCTCTTGCTTATTAATTAAAATGTCAAAACATGACAAAAAGCTTTCATCTAACAAACACATCTATTTTATTTAAATATTTAACAAAAAATGCATTTTTATTTATGTGGTCCCAATTACTATCAGTATACACTGTATGTGTAAAACAGAAACCTTTATTCGTGTGTGATCGGTTCCCTCTCCCCAAATTTTTTGATTTGTCGGCTTATTTGATTATTTGTTTGAATTGCATTATAATCCTTTACAATCCCTTTTATTTTAACAAAAACCCACCAAAAAACTTTATTTTGTCTCTTTATTTTATACTTTTGGACATCTATATGTATAACAAACAAAAAGAGTCATATATGGATAAATGGTTAAGAATACGATTTAACGCTTTTTTAGTCTTTGTGAGACTTTCATTTGAGAGTGATGCAATAATAATTTAATATATCAGATCGATTAAGTGAAGAATAACAGGAAAACATACACTATAGTGAGCATCATACTTTGGATCAACAATAAATATAATTAAAACATTGAATATTTTTATCAACTGATCTTGTGGGGTCTTTTCTGCCAAACATTACCCTCGGATGAATCATTCTATATTTTTGGATGTTATATTATTACCATTTACCAACCTCGTGTTGGTCCCAAGAAAATATAATAGTTTAGTTGATGGTTACTCCTAATATATTTGCATTTCAATAGCGGAGTTCTTAAAAAAAAAAAACCTTAATTCAATTGGGTTGATATTCGTTTTTTTAGACATCGGATCAAGGTTTTACAGTAGAAAACGATCAAATTCACACATATAAGAGAAAAAACATTTTTTGGGGGGTATAATATAGTATTTGGTCCGACCAAAGTATCCACTGAAGGTTTAACCCATTAATTATAATAATGTAACAATATTAATAATACAGAAAAACCTAATATTAGTATTCGATTCAAATTCTAAATATGATAGTAGAAGAAAAACCTAATACTAACATATTAGTATTCGATTCAAATTTATAATTTGGATTGAACCCTAATTAAAACTTCTTATTTATATAGAAACAAAGAAAATAAAGTTAAGAAGAATGAATAAAACATGGTGCTGCCGCTACTGTTGTGATACTATTTAAATAATATGTGATCGATGATAAAATTCTGAATATGCGATCGACGATATATTATATAGTTGAGCATTTGAGTGTGACTTGCTAGGTCTTTTTCTATTGGTCAACTATTATTCTCGGATAAATTATTGTCTTCAAGCAATTTTGTTTTTATTATTGTCTTTTTTCTCTGTTGGAGCCCAAACAACGAGATAAAAATTTAAGTATTACGCCAAATTAGATGTTAATGTTTACTATCCTCTCATCACAACATGGGGCGTTTAATGTAATACCAACTTTTATATTTTTAAAAAAATTTCTAGATCAAAATGTCATAAGTAGTACACAAATGTTGATTTAACTAATTATAATAGTAGAATTGTAGAAGTTAATAAATTAAATAATAACAAAAAATTGTTGTAATTTTTGTGGGTTCTGCTAAAAGGTGTAGGTGAGTACGTAGGTGTTTGTCTTCTTTTGTAGAACCTATTTTAATATCCCTTTACATATACTTTGCAAAGTTGGTTACAAACCATGTGAAATGCAATGATGAAAATTTGCCACAATATATAATACAGTACAGTACAGATGTAAAGGGAATTTAAACAATTATGGGAGCGGACAATTTATTAATTTCTGTTTTACAATATCACGTGAGCAAGTTTCTCTGATTAGTAAATGTTGATTATTAGAAAATCTTCAACTGCATGCGGGTACCTCGTATTAGTCCCATAGTTTAGTTCGTTAACTCTTGTATTACATATTTCTAAATTCTAAACCTAGAAGTGATTCTAAAATTTCTTATTTAAAATAAAGAAATCTAAAGAATAATGAAAATCTATGGTTTTAATACTGTAAGTCTGTAATAAAAAAAAGACTGATTATTAATTAGAATTTTACTTATAAAGATAAAATAATAATCATTTTTGCTTTTATATATAAATTGTTCTTTAAATTATTATTTATATTTAACCAAAGTTTTTTATACTGAATTAAAATTCATCATAAATAACATTCTTTTTGTAGGAGAATCAAGAAATTTGAAAGTTATATTTTTCTTATGTGTGACATTATAAAATTTTCTCAAAATTACTAAAAATTTCAGGGACTATTGTGAAATTAAATAATAGCAAAAGCGCCCCATAAAACTGTATGTATACTATTTATCTTTCTTCTTCACATTTTCTCTAGTTTAGGAGCTTATACTCACCAAAATCTCAGAAAAGATTTATACATTGCATTGTTTTTTTTTTTTGAGAGAGTCCACATCATTTAGTTTTCTTTTTCCAGATTCTCCTTTCTCTTTTGTTTATAAAGCTAAGTTTTCCTTTTACTTTCGAAAGTTTATTTGACCTAGGTCATGGAAGGAGATGGGGGAAGCGACACTGAAAAGAAATCTGATTTCGTAAGTTTTTCTTTTGTTTTTTTAACAAGCTAATGAAATCATTGTCTTCTCAATTTTTTTTTGTTTCTCTGTTTATTTTTTCCTCAATCAAATTCGTTTCTTTCATTAAAATCCATTTAGGACAAAAACGGAAGTAAGAAAAGATCTTAGCAATTTTTTTACAAGAGTCAACTAATTTTTTTTTCCAGATGAGTTTTTGTTTTAGGTCTCCTTGACTCCAGATCTAGTCCTGGGGCTTTTTTCTTTTTGTGGTTTGAAAATCTCAGTGTGGTATTTAAAAGAATATTGAATTGATTGGCTAATGATATTTTATATTTCTCTTATTTTCTTTTCACAAATCTATTGGATAGTTCATGGAAGGCGATGTAGCTGGAACCACTGAGGCCAATACAAGGAAGAGGAAATCAGATTCTGACATTGAAGCTACCTTTCATACTGTGAGTTTTTGCTTTTGTTTGAAGTTTAATGAAATTTTATTATTATTTGGAATGATAAGATCACCGAAAAGAAATGGATTAACTATCAATGAAATAAAATGATTATTCTTACAATCCATTTAAAAACAATAAAGGAAAGTAAGCGAATGTCTTAGCCTTTTTTTGTTAACAAGAGTCATCTCGTTTTTCTTTCAGAATTTCCTTTTTGTATCATTTATAAAGTCTTAAGTTCATTTTTCTTTTGCAAATTTATTGAATTTAGTTTCAAGGTATTCATGGAGCTGGAGGTGAAAAAAAAAATAAGAAGACAAAGAAATCAACTTCTGGAAAAGCCATTGATGTAACATCTCATGTGGTGAGTTTTTATTTTAAGTGAATGAAGTTATTTGTTATTTAAACTGATGAGATATCAATAGAAAAAATAAACTAATTTAATTTGAGTTGATTGCAGAAATTGATGGAAGGTGATCCTAACTATCCCAAGGTTAAATTCTTATAAATTAGTTCTTTATCAAATTCATGAAGGCTCTAAGAAGTTTAATGCTATGTTATACATTCAGAGAATTTGGTAATAGAGAAGAATTCTTCTCCTATTACTGATATATAGAAATATATATATACTCATCAGTTCTTGTTTCTTGTTGAAGGATGTCCCAAGCGGATCTAAGCATTACGAGAAGTTTTGGACTAAGGAACTCAGAGAGGTCATGAACCAAGGAACTAGGCGTAAGTGAATCAATTGTATAATATATTCTCTCTCTCTCTCTCTCTCTCTCTCTCTCTCTCTCTCTCTCTCTCTCTCTCTCTCGATATTTATATGTTACTAATAATCATTTTAATTGTAAAGGAACCTGCTGGACCGTGGCATCAACAAGAGGTTTATCAGCTCGGCTTCTTGTTGAAAAGAAAGTCGGTTCTCTCAAGCACATGTCAGCCCTTCATCTGTTGGTTGGTCTTTTTGACAAGACTGATAAAAAAGGAGGGCTTAGAAACTTGGGTCACTTGAAGAAGTTTCTTGAAGAAAATGGTGCAGTTTTGGAGAAAGATTGCAAGTGTGTAGATCCATTCTCTGAAATGAAGAAGAAAAGGACTGACGATAAATCAAAGATTACTAAACCAATTCTGTGCACCGACAAACACGGCCAGGTAATAAAATCTGTCCTCAAAATCTTTTCCATTTGGTTTTTCACTTAAAAGTTTTTTTTTTTTTTTTGAAAATGGCACTTAAAAGTTAAGCTTTTAATTAATGGTACATGTAGTGTTTACTTAATTTGACTAATTTAACTTTTAATGTTTTTTTTTGTTTGTTTTGTAGCCTAAATGTGTCTTCAGGGTTAAAGAACTGATCGTGTTAGAGGATGTGGTTGAGAAAGATCTTATCGTCATGCTCAACAAAGGTCCCGTGGCGATTTCTATCATTAACACCCTGGAATTTGTAGCATTTAAAGGGGTTAGTTAAAAATAGAATTACTGTATTGAGCTGCATTAAGGAAGTTTACCAATATGTTTTGAATTGAAATATAATTTTTGTTCTGTGCTTTGTGAAACAGTCCGGTGTTTACGAAGGTCGTCTCATGGGTGGTAGAAGCACTGATATTGACTACCACATGCTTTTGTGTTATGGATACGGAACCACCAATACCGGAGTACACTACTGGAAAGTCCAGAACTCAGCAGGACTTAGTTGGGGAGAGAACGGCGTCGGAAAGATAATCCGAGAAGTTAGCCGCGGTGGAAGACCATCCCTGATCGAATATGTCATTTACCCTGTGGTAAGTAATATATAATTCATTTAGTTTTGTAGTACTACTAATTTTAAAACCTTTACATTTTTCGGTTTTTATATGACAGCTCCTTGATGAGTACGAGGATGAGGATTAGACACGTACCACTTTTGTTTCTCTCGACGAGAGACACGTACCACTTCTCAAGACTAAAACGCTAAAGAGATATTCTTAGAGGATGAGAATGTTTTGTTTGTTTTTTCTTTTTGGGTTTTCTACTTTGATCTACGTACGTTAGTCATCTCCATATTAGACCAAATGTTTTTATTAAAATTATGAACCATCTCCTAATTAATGCTTTGAATTAGCTATATATATTGTTGTTATCTAGACAAAACTAAAGCTAAAAAGATTGTTGTTATCTTAGCAGGCCTACCCTTGATTGATTGAAGAAACACATCAACTCCAAACCTAAAAAGATTGTTGTTATCTAGACAAAACCCATAAATGCTAAATTCGAAATACAAAACTGCTCTGGAAAATCTAACCATCAAATACTCTTAAGAGTAATCAGAACATCACTATCACTAAAGCAACTATAGTTAGCATCTATGTTTCACAGGGCCAACAGCGCGCAGGCGCTAAGCAGTATTAACGGGTCAACGAAACAAGGGATAGTGCTAAGTTTTACCATTGATTTGACAGAAAGTTTAAGCCTTTATGCGAAGTTAGAGGGAGGAGATGATATGGAGAGGTAAAGTTGAACAGAAGAGATGAGGATTATCTTAGCTAAATCACAATTCAGACTTTAAAGAGAGGTAAACAAAAGAGATGAAGAGGCCACCAATAAGCAAAGTTAGCTTTAGCTTACCATAAAACAACAATTTTCGAGATAGTAAATACAACACAACTCAGATAAGAGTCTTAAAGAGTAGACAAATCACAATTCAGACGATACGAACTAGAAAACAACAATTTAGAGATAGAGAGAGATAGTAAATAACTAGGAGCCGTCGACTTCTGAGGCATCCCCATAAAAGCTCCTACTCGAGTCTGAAAATAACAAAGGAATAATATCTAAGAGATCTCACAGTTGGTTTCTTGAAAAGATGCAAATAAGACCGGGAAGATAATATACCTTGGTTTCTTGCCACTCGCTTCAGCATCTCCAACGCTATCTCCACCGGACGAAACTGCCAAAACAATTCAAAATACCCGTAAGTCTCAAGTATACTCCAGAGAGATAACATCGTTTCATAAGCTTTTGCAGGGTTCCAAAGAAAGAGTACCTTCTTGATTAGGTTTTGGCCTACAAAAGACATACTCGTGCTCGTAAAAGATAGAGTAAAGAACCCTAGCTTGGAACATTTTGATCAGCTTATCAGCAGGATCCTTCACTTGAAATGTTATGAGAAACATCACCCCAGAAGACAAGTGGAAATTGGCATGATCAATCTTGACAAATACATATTCTGTCTTCTGTTTGAAACCAAAAAAAAAAAGAAAGAGATAAAAAAACCAAATGGAATCGGATCACAAGAACATAAAACCAGAGGTATTGAGTTAAGACCAGACCACTCACGTTTTCTTGGTTGTAGATCTCAAGGGATTTCCGAGTCAGCCTCGTGAGTAACTCCTCATTGGATTTCTCCTCAACAAATTTACGATCTAATCCAACAAATTCATTTTCTTCTAACTCAACAGGATGGTAGTTGAAAAGGCAGCGGAACAAGCTGTAATCAATATCGAACCCCTAAAATCACATAATGAAAGATTTAAAAGCTGTATTGATAAAAAAAACAAAACCTTTAACATAGAAAAAATAAAGAAAGAAAAAAAAAACCAGGCTCTTGTTGATCTCTTCGTTCATCAGATCAATTTCTTCATCTGTTGTGAGCCAAGGCTCATCTTTCTCGGTTTTTGTGATGTACGGAGGTCTAATCCAGGGTTTTTTCTCATCTGGTGAATGTACCAAAAACGCATCTTCGACAAACCAAGTCCAACCTTATAATACAGATAAAACTTAAAATCAGGATTTCGATAGATCGATACAGAAATATTCTTAAAAAAAAAAAACTTGAATTTGAAGAAAGTTATTTGGATTCTTACCATCGAACTCTTCACCCATTGCTCCTCTCGAATAAGCGGCTGAGGAACCCTAGTTTTTGGGAAAGTGACTTTTTAGATGCGTTCCCTTCTCTCGAAATCTCTCTATTAAACTATTTCCCATTACATTTAAGTCCCTCGAAGTTTCTTATTCTTTGTCTTTTTCCTCCTATTTCTTTATATTGACAATAATCCCCCTAGGAGTTTCTTATTCTTTGTCTTTTTCCTCCTAGTTCTCTATACTGACAATAATCCCCCTCAGAATTGTTTTTTTTTTTAATTATTTATTCCCCGGAATGATGATTTCCTTTTTCAACTTCTTTCATTACAACAGTACGCCGTCTATCAATTCGACGGTTTAAAAAAATTACATTTTAATTCTTAAATATACATAACTAGGTGACTTTTCCACACAAGGTTCGGTTTATTTTTTAAAAAATTGATAATATTATTTTTATTTGAAATTAATATGTTTTTTTAAAGAAAACACATTTTTCATGAGCAAGTTATTGTTGTATATATCAATTTTTCTTTAAAAAATGAGTTAAATTTAAATAATATTACAAATATTAATATATTTAACTGAAAGAATCAGCTTATAGGACAAAGTTATACTAATATATATGGCTTAAACTAAAAATCATGTTTACATATAGGAATCAAACAAATAAAACATTCCACTATTTTATAAGAAGCTTTCAAAAATTATCTACAGTCAAAAGTTTTAATATAATTTTTCAAATTTTTGAACGACCAATACATATAATAACAATATGTGGTAGCTGTATAGAAACTCTCCATCCAACTTAATAAGAGAAGATCAATTATATTAAATTAGGTATTTACCTGCACTATGCTGCAGGATATTTTTCTAGATTTTGCATATATTTTTAATATAATAAAATTATTTTTATAATGTAAATAAGTATTATATATATTTATTTATTAACTTAAATTATGTATTTATATGTTTTAAATCTGAATAAACATTATCTATTTTTATTATTTTATTTTTCAAAATTATAACTTGCTATTAAATTTAGTTAGCTAACTAATTATAAATGTATATATAAGAATATATATAAGAATAAACCAATACATATTTAGTACCTTCATGCAAATGGCAAATGTAATCTATCTTCTCTAATAAATTGCCACATGATCCTTATTTGTAATTATATAAAACAAAATACCATTTAAAAAAAGATTTATTAATTAATATAATTATTTTGAATTATAAAATTTATTTATTTATCAAATATTTTATTATAAACATATGTTTCTAAAACTACCAAACTATAATCAATAACATTCATATCAAAACCATTGTTATTACTTTAGAACTAATTAGAAATTTATGTTTGAACTCTTAAAATATCATTTTAGTTAAAGTTAAATAATTAAATTTTGATTACTGTAAACATACTTTAACTTGGAAATTTAGCACAAGGAAATTTCATCTTCATACAAAAATCGAGAAATCGCATTTTTCGTCAATACAAAAAAACTTCATTTTTCCATTAAACTAAGAAATCGGCTATTCCCACTAAAACCAAAAAAAAATATTTTCTCGTCAAACCTAAAACCTAAAATTTTATTTTCCCGTGAGAACCTGTGTTTTTCCACTAAAGCCGAGAAATTACGTTTTTTCACAAAAACCAAAAAATTTCATCTTCCTGCAAAAACCAAAAAAAAAATAATTATATTTTCCTGCCAAAATCAAAAAATTTATTTTTCTTGCGAAAACTGAGAAATCTTCTATTCCTGCAAAAACAAAATCATTTTCTCGTCAAGCCCAAAACCACTCTTTCCTACAAAACAAATAAACTACAATTTCCCGCGAAAACTAAAAATTGTATTATCTCCCGTGAAATTGTGTTTTCCTGCGAAAACTAAAAAATTGTTATGTTTTTATCGGTTCAAATTTTTGCTGATGTGTGAGCTTCTTATAACATAAGACTTTTTGTGTTGTTGCATGGAAGCATAGTTGATGCTGAGTCTACAATTTTTCAATCATATATGTCTATGTCAAACAAATAGATATCTAGAATTTTTTTATTATTTTTTTATTGTTATTTATTATTTGGTTTTAGTAAAAAAAACCATGATTTAATTTTTTTTTGTTTTTATTTATTATTTGGATTTGGTAAAAAATAAAATAATGATTTTTTATTTGCTGTTATTAATTATTTGAGCTTGGGTTTGGTAAAAAATAAAACAAAAATTAATAGAAAATATATTTGGGTTTTTAATGGGTTTAAGTTTAAAAATTAAAATAAGTAGATGAGATGTATTAATAAAATGTTTTGATTGGTGATTATTTTTGCTGAGGTGTCATATTTATAAAGCTTAAAAAAGCTGAGGTGTCAAGCCATAGAGACACTTTACTGTTATTGTTGTGTTGATTATGATACATATGGACAATAGCCTCGGCTGTGCATGTTTTTCATCATTTTCATCTTTTCTACTTATTATTGTTATTCTTTTATGATGGTTATAAACTTATAGTATAGTTTCTTTTATGATGGTTATAGTACGTAAAATCGTATTGTCATTTCAAATATATTGATCGTGATATCTATACTAAATAAAAGGAGCTGTTTGGGCTCCCAAGACTATCCAACTCAGCAAAAAATATTTCTCCAAAATCATGCCACGTCAGTATAGTTAAAACAAACAAACTCGTTCCACATCAGCCGTGTTTACAATTCATGCGCTTTGATAATCTGCAATATTATTTGGTTTCAGTGGCCCATTTTAAACCCACTAACCTAATGATGTTTTAAGTTTTTACAACAGATAATCATTAAAAGATGTTAACATACTTATAGAAATTAGAACCGATTATTCTTTTCCATATGTAACAACAGTTGCCGATTCCTCTCCTTCACAGCACAAATATTACTTTCAAATCCCTGATTTCAGTAACCGATTTAATGAAGGCTATAAAAACTGACTGTAGATTGCTCTACCACTACAATCTGCATATCCATTGCAAACAGAGACTCTCTCAACTCTAAAGATGGCATATATAGATCTATAGCATCAAATGTGAAATTCGACTCAGGGCACATTCAACGTGTGGAAATCTCGAGTCCATGGCTCCCACCAACATGCGAACACTGCAGAGAAGTGGGTCATAGCATCAAAAGATGTCCGTCTGCGCCAATCACCTGTACTGAGTGTAAATCCACTGGTCACGCAACAGAAATCTGCCCAAGAGCCAGGAAAGTTGAAAAGGATCACGTAGGCGATAAAAAAGTGCCACAGAAGAGGCGACCCAAGAAAACATTGCCTAAGCCAGCCGAAGCTGTAGTGGTTGACTTAGAATCAGGTGGCACTATCGAAGTGGATATTGGCCTTGACAAACTGGCCAACGCTGCTTCGACCTTCCTAAATGCCACTAAAGAGGAGAATAAGTAAATTGCCGAGTCTTCCGACTCTGATCTAATCTCCTCCTCTGACCCTGAAGACAACTCTTCTGATGAAGAGGTGAAATCTGGAGATGAGGCGAGTTTGGCTGGGAAATCTTCGGATGAAGCGAGTCTACCAGAGAAGAACACTGCTACAGAAGGTATTCAGGACTTCTCACCAGTCGTATCAAAGAAAAACCTAAAAAAGCAGAGGAAGCTGGAGAAAGACAAGCTTCAGGAAACTCAGAGGCAGAAACAACTTGTGCTAATCAGGAGCAAAGGCTCCAAATCCCGACTTCCTTAATGATAGACACCTTTACATGGAATGTTAGAGGGTTTAATAATTCTGTTCGGCGGAAAAACTTTAGGAAATGGTTTATGCTTTCTAAAGCCCTTTTTGGTAGTATAATAGAGACTCGGGTGAAGGAACACAGATCTCAAAAGCTCATTCGCTCCACCTTCCCTGGGTGGAAGTCAGTGTGCAACTATGAATTTGCTACTCTAGGAAGAATTTGGGTAGTGTGGGACCCAGCTGTTTCGGTGGATGTACTCTCCAAATCAGATCAGACTATTACCTGCCTGGTTAAACTTCCGCATGTGGCTACTACGTTTGTGGTGACTGTTGTTTATGCTCACAACTGCAGAATTGAGAGAAGGCGTCTCTGGCAGGAGCTTGAATCGTTAGCAGCTGATACTAGCGTTGCCACTAAACCGTAGCTGACAATCGGAGACTTTAACCAAACGCTCGACCCTGCTGATGCATCATCAAGTGGCTCACGGGTAAGTAGAGGGATGGAGGAGTTTCGAGACTGCTTACACAATTCATGTCTCTCCGATCTCACATACAAGGGGCATCGCTTCACCTGGTGGAATAATCAAGTGGATAATCCAATCGCGAGGAAGATTGATCGTATCCTTGTCAATGACCAGTGGCTGATAGCGTTCCCTCTCTCCTATGGCTATTTTAGTGAAATGGAATTCTCTGATCACTGCCCCAGCTGTGTGAAAATCGTGAACCAAAATGGTGACAAGCCAAAACCTTTCAAGCTCTCAAACTTTCTGATGTATCATCCTGACTTCATCAAGAATATCAGAGAAACTTGGGAGAGGCTAGCATTTCAAGGATCCTCTATGTTTATCTTATCAAAGAAACTCAAACTCCTTAAAAAGACAATCAAAAGCTTCAGCAATGTACACTACTCGGATATTGAGAAGAGAGTCCGGCAAGCACATCAGAACCTGACCACATGCCAACATAATCTTCTCTCCTCGCCCACAATGGAGCTCGCGAACCTTGAGAAGGAAGCTCATAGAATCTGGCTGGACCTAGCTATTGCCGAAGAGAAGTTCCTTTGTCAAAAATCTCGGGTGAATTGGCTTAAATGTGGTGATGTAAACACTACCTTCTTCCATCGAATGGTGGCTGCGCGAAGAGCCACAAACCAGATCCATTTCCTCCTTGACCCTACTGGTCGTAGGATTGAGAATGTAGACGAACTGCAAAGCCATTGTGTGGAGTATTTCACCGAGCTATTTGGAAGCGAAGTAACCCAGCTGACAAAAGAGAGCAGAGACAGGATCCACTCTCTATCTCGGTTCAAGTGCGATG